ACCATGTGCGCTACGCGGAATACGCGTTTCACACGGTTTCCCCCATACCGTTCTCCCTTACTTTATAGACTAGCCCAAGCCCGTTGTGCCTTCGGCACAGGAAGCAAGCAGAGCACTTCGTGCTCTGCTGGAGGCACCTTCGGTGCCTTGTCTCACTGTGTCTACATATTATTTAATTATAACAAATCAATAATTTCTTACATTATATAGTTTTGTTTTAGTTATGGGATGTTGCACAAACAGTTTGACTGAAGGTTACCTGGGACACTGGCTTGCGATCCCGTGGCCTCGTGCCTCGGCCAGTGGGATGCAAGCCAGTGTCCCAGGTAACCTTCAGTCAAACTGTTTGTGTCATGCTATTGACTCATACACTTCCTCCCAATTATCTTGTCCCATGTCCCATTGTCCCATGTCTTGTTGTCCCGTGTCCTGTTGTCCCATTGTCCCATGTCCCGTGTCTCGTTGTCCCATGTCCCATTGTCCCGTGTCCCATATCCCATTGTCCTGTTCTCCCATGTCCCATTGTCCTGTGTCCCATGTCCCATTGTCCTGTTCCCATGTCCCATTGTCCTGTGTCCCATGTCCCATTGTCCTGTTCTCCCGTGTCCCATTGTCCTGTGTCCCATGTCCCGTGTCCTGTTCTCCCGTTCTCCCGTGTCCCATGTCCCATGTCCCATGTCCCATGTCCTGTGTCCCATTGTCCCATGTCCTGTGTCCTGTTGTCCTGTTCTCCCGTGTCCCATTGTCCCATGTCCCATTGTCCTGTCCTCCTCTTGTCCTCCCATCCTCTTGTCCTCCTGTAGCCCTCTCATCCTCCCATTGTGTCCTCTTGTCCTCCTCTTGTCCTCCCATCCTCCCATCTTCCTATTCACCCCATTTCTCCATTCTCCATCTTCCCATTCCTCTGTTTACCCATTGCCAAATTTTCCCATCTTTATATTTTCGCAATTTTGCATTTTCACATTTTTGCATTTTGCATTTTTCACATTTTTCTACTTGCTTGGTGTTCTCTTTTCTCTTTTCCCCACAAAAATCCCAAAATCCCTTGTTGTCCTTCAATTTTTACTATTTATTATGTATTCACAGTTGCAGTACATATAAAATTCATTGTTGTTGTGCAAAATGGAGGGCCAGTGAGCACTTGCCAATCCCATTGTGGCTCAATTTTTACAAATTCCCACGTTTGGACAGTGAGCTCATATAGTAAGGGACAACGGTTTTTGCAAATTCAAACTCCGCTTGACAGAACCACATGGGATCCTCTTTTCAGCGACCTTACCGACGCAACCGACGCAGCCGACACCATGTGCGCTACGCGGAAATGCCCAAATCCTCCCACATTCCCCCCCTCCCTTCTCCCTTACTTTTTAAGACTAGCCCAAGCCCGTTGTGCCTTCGGCACAGGAAGCAAGCAGAGCACTTCGTGCTCTGCTGGAGGCACCTTCAGTGCCTTGTCTCACTGTGTCTACATATTATTTAATTATAACAAATCAATAATTTCTTACATTATATAGTTTTGTTTTAGTTATGGGATGTTGCACAAACAGTTTGACTGAAGGTTACCTGGGACACTGGCTTGCAATCCCGTGGCCTCGTGCCTCGGCCAGCGGGATGCAAGCCAGTGTCCCAGGTAACCTTCAGTCAAACTGTTTGTGTCTTGCTACTGACTCATGCCTTTCCCCTCAATTCTCCCATCTCTCATCTCCCATCTCCTGTGTCCCATTGTCCCATTGTCCTGTGTCCTGTGTCCCGTGTCCCATGTCCTGTGTCCCATGTCCCGTGTCCCGTGTCCCATGTCCTGTGTCCCATTGTCATGTCCTCCCATCTCCCATCCTCCCATTGTCCTCCCATTGTCTTGTCCTCCTGTAGTCCTGTCCTCTTGTCCTCCTCTTGTCCTCTCATCCTCTCATTGTCCTCCCATCCCCCTGTCATCCTCCCATCCTCCCATCTCCATATTCACCCATTTCTCCATTCTCCATCTTTCCATTCCCATGTTTACCCATTGCCCATTTTTCCCATCTTTATATTTTTGCATTTTTGCATTTTCACACTTTCACATTTTCGCATTTTCGCATTTTTCATATTTTTCTATTTGCTTGGTGTTCTTTTTCTATCCTATTGTGGCTACATTTATATGTACACACAATTACAGTACATATACATCATTGTTGTTGGAGCCACCTGCCAAATCAGTCAACCCTTACATACTAACGGACGAAGGTTTGCGCAAAATTCAAACTCCGCTTGACAGAACCACATGGCATTCCCTTTTTCAGCGCTCCAAGGGAGAAGGGATTCAAACAACCGACGCAACTGACGCAACCGAAACAACCGACACTGCCGACACCATGTGGGCTACGCGAAAATGCCCAAATCCTCCCACATTGCCCCCCTCCCTTCTCCCTTACTTTTTAAGACGAGTCCAAGCCCGTTGTGCCTTCGGCACAGGAAGCAAGCAGAGCACTTTGTGCTCTGCTGGAGGCACCTTTAGTGCTTTGACTCACTGTGTCTGCATATTATTTACTTGTGAGAAATAAATAAATTCTTACATCTTACATTATATAGTTTTGTTTTAGTTATGGGATGTTGCACAAACAGTTTGACTCATACACTTTCTCCCAATTATTTGATTTCCTATCTCCCATGTCCTGTGTCCCGTGTCCTGTGTCCCATGTCCCATGGTTCTGTGTCCCACTGTCCCACTGTCCCATGGTTCTGTGTCCCACTGTCCCACTGTCCCACTGTCCCATTGTCCTGTTGTCCTGTTGTTTGTCCTGTTGTCCCGTGTCCCGTTGTCCCATTGTCCCGTTGTCCTGTTGTCCTGTTGTCCTGTTGTCCCATGTCCCATTGTCCCATGTCCCACTGTCCCATTGTCCCATGTCCCATTGTCCCGTGTCCCATTGTCCCGTGTCCCACTGTCCCATTGTCCCATGTCCTATTGTCCCTTGTCCCGTGTCCCATGTCCCGTGTCCCGTGTCCCGTGTCCCGTGTCCCGTGTCCCGTGTCCCATGTCCCATGTCCCATGTCCCATGTCCCATGTCCCATTGTCTGTCCTCCTGTCTTCCATCCTCCCATTGTCCTCCCATTGTCCTCCCATCCTCTTGTCCTCTCATCCTCCCATTGTGTCCTCTTGTCCTCCTCTTGTCCTCCCATCCTCCCATTGTTCTCCCATCCTTCTGTTGTCCTCCTATCTTCCTCCCATCCTCCCATCCTCCTTATTCACCCCATTTTTCCATTCTCCATCTTCCCATTCCCCTGTTTACCCATTGCCAATTTTTCCCATCTTTATATTTTCGCAATTTTGCATTTTCACATTTTTCTACTTGGTGTTTTCTTTTCTCTTTTCCCCACAAAAATCCCAAAATCCCTTGTTGTCCTTCAATTTTTACTATTTATCATGTATTCACAGTTACAGTACATATATAAAATCATTGTTGTTGTGCAAAATGGAGGGCCAGTGAGCACCTGCCAATCCCATCTTTCTATTTTCGCATTTTTCACATTTTTCTATTTGCTTGGTGTATCCCGTTTTGGCTCAATTTTTACAAATTCCCAATTTTGGACAGTGAGCTCGTATAGTAAGGGACAATGGTTTTCGCAACTTCAAACTCCGGTTGACAGAACCACATGGGATCCCTTTTTCAGCGACCTTAGCGAAATAAGCATTCCAAGCGGCTTGTAAACGAAAAAACCGACGCTGGCGACACCATGTGCGCTACGCGGAAATGCCCAAATCGTCCCACCCCTTCCCCCATACCATTCTCCCTTACTTTATAGATTTATTTATTATTATAGATGATGATCATAGAAGTTAAACGTTAATCACGTACACTCTATCCCATGCTATGACGGGTTGAGTAGATCTTGAGCACCCATATTCTCACCGTATCTCTTCGAATTCAGTTATGAGATATCCAACAATTCAGATCTGCTAGCTCGGCTTCGAATTTGAAGATCCTGAGTCAGTACCAGGAGCGTTCGACCAGTTTCAGCTGACAGCACATTTTTGGTACTGCGTGTGCAGCATTCCTTAATACTCCCTTGCTAATAAATGTCAGGTTCCAAGGAACATTGACGGTCGGTCGACGCGCACAAGTTTTCGGAGATCACCCAAACGAACCTCCGCGACGGTATGTGAACAACTGGAGGGTATGTAGCTCACGCCACCAGACATCACACTGACACACCCGATACCTAATATGTCCTACAAACTGTAGAGGAAATTCACTTATGTCGAACAAGGGGACATGGATCACTCACTGGGCATGGTGTAGCTGGTTATCACATCCGCTTAGCATGTGACTGCGGGGGGTCTCCGGTTCAAGTCCGGATTTGTCCACTGTTTTTATTATTTGATTCGACAAGCAGCATACTTTTTGCCGAATCTCGTCGAATCTTTGTCTCATATCGAAGTCAGTCCAACACAAACTATCTTTCCTTTCTTGTAAATAGGCGTCTTGCAAGGAACTCGACGCCTTCCCCACTTCTCGAATGTTATCGTCGGCATCCAATAAGCTCAGGATCTGAAAAGCAATGATATCATCTCCATGATCGATTATATGGCACCCATATCAAAAATGACAATACATCAGTGTCGAGGGCAGGAGAAAAGTAAGGCTACATGTATCATGTATCCAAATCAATATCACGTTTGGGGGGTTTCCCTATTTATCCACGCCCATCGAGTAGCTCAGGAGGAGCGGTGTCCGGCAGGATAGCGAAGTTCGAGTGTTTTCGACCGTCACTAGCCCATTCTTCCTTTTGAATTAAGTATCTTCAAGGACATGTACGTACATGTTCTTCGAGGTGCATTTATGCAAAAACATACGCAAGTCGGGTGAGTAACATTTATCAATCAGAATTCATGAGGGACGTTTTCTAATGTTATTTAAGAGTCTCGGTAGGGAAATTTGTACAGATGCAGCGGAGAAGGCTAACTCAACGAGTCAGCACCCTCGCGTTTACCTTGGAACGCTTTATGGATGTTTTGCGCTTGCATGGTCTGTGCCCAACCAATTCATGATACACCCGCCAAGCCGCTTCCGAATCTTCCCTTACCCTCCGAACTTCACCAAATGGCTTCCCCAGTCACACAGCGCCAGCATTCCTATTGTTACTATCATTCTCTTTGATTATTTGTACGTCTCTCCCGTCACGCCGGTTGTCGTTTACTAAATACCACGACTCCGTTGATCTTCCGTTTCCTAGAGGTAACCATGACTCCACAAGAAGTCGCGCTTCCTGCTCGGAGTCGTTCGTGCAGTGGTAATACTTACAGGCGCGGTAATACTTACATGCGCGGGCAACTCAATCAAATGATGCAACACCGACGATGCGTCAATCGCATGAATACATCTTGCATTTCACATCTGTTTTGAAAATTTATTGCTGCATTTAGTTGAGCAGGGACAGATATCATATTTATAATGTCTGAGTTCAAGTTCGTGGCTCCCTCACACGCATCCTCGAACAACATGACCCTGGTCTCAAACGATCCCAGTTGGTGGCCGTCCATCCAGTCGTATCATGTTTCCAGCTATTTTGGAGGTTCGTGGAGAGCCAGTCGTATCATGACACTGACGTGTCGATCTAACCTTGGCTGTGGTTTCACAGTTGCTGCCTCCGCTGGGGTAGTGTACGATTGGGGTGAGCAAGATAGTATTCAAGAACTGCTGATATCCTTATGGCATTTCTAGCACTGACATTCGGACAAGAGGTAGGTTAATGTCATTACCGGAGCAGTCATCTCGCTAAGAATGGTTTATAGGTCGAACTGGTCTGGGTGAGCCAAATCGAAGAACAACTTGATAATACAATTAATTCGCGCCAGAGGCAACGCTGGTCCCTGATGACTGCTCTATATCTCAGTGTATGTAACTTGCATTATAAGTGTGGCTGTCTGACTTGACAATATCCTAGGTGCGCTATCTTGGAATAATATATGCTGTGTATGTTTGGGCGGCTAAGCAATCGGTGTTGTGCTAATCGGCCATTTCTCTCAATCAGCCTGAGCATACTGGGTTCGTCCCCTCACATTGACCGTCTTTGTTTCTTCTGACCGGCGGCATACAGTCTCTGTTCCAACAATCCCGATGACAGATGCAGTGAGTATTCTGTATTGATGCCTGCCATTACCGTCCAATCAACAGCATTCCCATGTAGGGGTAAGTGAGATTCTTAGCCAACCTGTTGGCTCAATGTAATGATTTCCACAGCTGTAAGTTTGAGTTGAATGCATAATCCTCCGAGGCTGATCACCACCTGACTCTATCAGGCTATGTTGGTTATGTCGCCCTAGATTGGATGGACGTCGTCGTAAATGTAATTTTGGGCGGTGAGCTATGCAGCTGCAATATCTCGGTGATGTCGACTTGACTGAAATATCATGCAAGTCATTATGATCGCTCGGTTGCATGCCATGTCTCAGAAATCCGGCAAAGTAGTGATACTTCTTGTCGTCGTCTTCCTGGCTTCCAACACCTTCGACGTAGTGGTCGCAGCAATGTTCACGAGGAAGACTTCAGCGGGTAAGCTTAATTATGGATGAAAGATGTGTATCGTGCTCATTGACGAATACTAGAGATGTTCATTCTCTCCGGCACCTACCTGTGCAATATTAAATACGAGGGAAATGCCCTATCTCTGGATTCCCTTACTTGGATAATAACCACTGTATGGGAGGTCCTTGCACTGTGTCTCGCGGTCTGGATTGCTGTGAAACATTTCCGTGAACTGCGACGAGAATCAGCAGGAGGGATTATCGGGGACTGTTTCACAGTGTTAATTAAATCCCATGTGGTTTACTTTGCGAGGTGAGCTCATAATATCAATGTGGCCCTCCTTTTCCATTGAAGATCCCTCGCCCGCTAGCTTTCTTGCTATTTCTTGCTTCCAGCTCGTTTATTTGCTTTCACCGATCTCAGCGGTATGCCAACCTGTCACCGACCTCTGCATTTGACCATGGCTCATCATATATATAGAACCAATATGCCATGGATAATCAGGTTTACAATGGTGCTCTGCAAATTTTCTTGCTCGTGCAGATGTTTGTGCTGGGACCACGCCTCATCCTTAGCGTTCGAGAGTATCACGCTAAGGTCATGGCTGACTCCGGTGCAGGAACCGACACAGATTCATTTGCTTTCCAGGGGCGCGTACACGTGTTGACTAGTCTTACTGTGTAGCACGACAAATGGTTGGTATGATTAATACCCGTCGCGTACTCTGCAGGGAGCGGGAGTATTTAGATTGTGAGGACCATAAAAGAGGCTGTATACCATGATCTCATGCAGGGAGTTTTCGTTCGCCTATAGAGTAGTATACTGCATTCAACAATTTTAGAACAGTGCCTTGTAATGCTCAGTGCCACATTTTTTTTCGAATCAAAGTCCTTGATATATACCGTGCACACTGCAGACCGGATGTCCATAGACAGATATCTGCGCTAGCGTAACCTGAAGACCAGCGTGTACCACACTTCCAAACTACTAGTAGATGACTCTGTTAACAGACGATATTTGCGCGAGAGTTTCCCCGTATGTGACTTGGGACCTACCAATACGTAGCACCACAAAATAAAACACCAGACAAACCAGATCCGATAACGAACGACATCATGATCGATTATGGATTAGATGCCAAGTTCTCGAGGGAATCTCTTGAGATCAGCATTCGAATTTCCAGAATACTTGCCAGAGTTGATTCCGCGGATGCAACATACTTCCGCCCGACGCTGTCCAGAGCCACGACCAATCTAGATCTTCTGTGCACTAATATTTACTGCGTTCCGTAAAGAGTCGGTGAAGAGATCTAAACTTCAACTTCAACGCAATACACGAACCAGCACTACTTCAAACATGAATACACTAATTCCAAAAAACTAAGTCATGAGAGGTCAAAACGCATCATTACAGAGCCAAGTCATTATTATACGCGTATACATATAGAGCAAACGGTGAGACGGAAGATGGAAGGTGGAAGGTGGATTAAAACAGCATTTGACGAAGCGTCGAAAGAAACAAAGCACTATGGATAATGAACAATCAACAGTCAACGATTCGATGCGTGATACGATGTACGAGAACACGGAAAACAGATTTTTGGGGTACGTGAAAGGGGTTGAAAGACGGGTGGACGGACTTGAGACACTTACTGACTTTGCGGAATCAGCACGAATGGGTATAGGCCTTCAAGGTAACCAATGTACCCCATTTCGATTGTGCGTTGGCAGTACAGATTTAAACATCCGCTTTCCAAGCCTCACCGTACCTCACTGCCTCGATATCGAATGCGACTGAGGGGGCCGGGGACAGGTACCAAAGCGGCGGTCTAGGTCGAGACAGAGGGTGGTACACGAAAGATTGGCAATGTGCTTGTGCCGCGGTTGATTTATGGCGCCCTTGTGCCGTCGTGGATTGATAATGGTAGTCGCAGGTTGATGATGCCCTTGATTCTCTTGCGAAGTAGGCTGTGCAGGCAGACGAGACGCAGTGTGTGGGTGACTCGAGGTGGACCCTGGTGCTGAAGCAGCAGTTCGATGAGCTGTGGAAGGGGTCATGGTTTGTACATTATTCATTAATACCCGCACATAGCTTCGATTGTGTTTCGGTGGACAGAAGATGTCCCGCTGTTTGAAATAAAAATCAATTGTGGATCAGCGCGCTCGAGGAGACTACAAGTTATCGATTGTCCACAACTTGATACGATGCCACCTACAGGAATAGCACGGACCTCAGTACTCCGTTTCGTCGATTCCCCACGTTGAATACCACTCACAAGGGGCCAAGAGTTAGTAGTCGTCCTTGCCTCTTTATCAAGAACATGTCTTCTCTCCTATCAAAGTTGTTTGACGCCTTAAAGGTATATCTTTTCTCCCATCAGCTGTTTTCTTTCTAGCGGTCATAAGATTGTGCCACCACCACGATGGACCGGCGATTCCATCAGACGGCGACTCTTCAAGCTTGGCTGTCCCAAAAGGCAGTCTCACCTGCAGTTCTACGGATATGCAGTCTCTCCAGAATGGCTTATCCAGTTTGCGGAGCAACACTTGCCAGGGGCACTGTGATCGCCAGAGGCGTGGCCTGATCGTAATGCCAAAAACTATAAGCACACTACCGAGACGCGAGGATATGAACTCATTTCGGCTATGGCGTCCATCTACAGTTTAGGCCGCAAAACTTGTTTCAACCCCAAAGATGGCCAGGTGCCTCTGCACTGGATCGATGTATATGATGGTGTTTAGGATGACGAACTCGATGACGACGAACTCATGAGCATTCAAATTGACACTGCTCTTGTACTCTCTGTATGTTCAGACGAAGAAGACTCCTTTGAAGAGCGTCCTAGGCAGGGACGGATGGACTTCGTGTCAGACTTGATCGGACAGGAACTACAGTGGTAGATGGGTCGCATGGCTACATATTGAGCAGGAGAGGCGACGGGTTGGAACTTGGAAATACTTACGTGCCGTTGACCTTCATGACGTAAACTTTGTGTACAAACCATGGCATGTTTGGTCTACGTGCGTGGCTGCATAGTGGTGCATGCACCTTAATACTCTGGTGAAGGGCGCCATGAATTGACGCCCAATATTGACTCCACCAAGTGCAGCGCATACAGCGCTTTCCAGGCCTTCGATACATTGTCATTCCTCGAAACATCTGTGTGAGTCAATGAATTACTCACGATATGTGAATGACGAATTGCTCAGTCACGAGCAGGGCTTCCAGCACAGACGGACGCTGTTCTACCCGTCCATGCGTGTGCGGTTGTGTATCAGGCAGAGTATGAGAATAGGACATGTGCGTTCGACGCAGTCCCTCATACGTCCGAATGCAAGTAGCTAACTTCTCTGATGAAGCTAGTACAAACCTCCAATAAATGGAGAGTTGCTCCAATGAATCTTTGCAAGGCTATGTGGCAGCTGCAGGGTATTTCAGGACACTTCTCTCGATAGCAGAGAATTGCCCGCAAACAGCCTACAGGCCTGCAATATAGGTGGAACTTATCCACCAATTGGGCAAAGTTCAAACACTTTGTCAACAGTGTTGAAATTCAATAAAGCCAAATAAACCATATTTCCTTTTTGGTGATAAACCAAATGTCAGTAAATAGTAAATAGGCGCTTGTGTTCAAATAAGGATAACGTCTTCCCCGCTTCTCGAATGTTATAGAATGCCGTTGATGGCACATACCCATTCCACGAAATACCAGACACTTCGACGGGACTCCTGTATCATCATGGATATCATAACGCGTATATAAGTGTTGGTCAGAGTCGCCCAGACCTCATCCAAGCTCAACCAACAATCCTCATAGTCACGCCTTCTCTCAACATCAATCACATCTTCGCTTAATCATGTCTCTTTCGCTCATGTTCTGCGACCCATCCACTGAGTTTGAAAGGCTATTCGACGATGCTTTCGACGCCCGTTTCCGTCCCTCGCCTGCTAAGGGCAATAATACCTTGACTCGCCGTTCTAATGAAATGTTGCCCAAGTAAGCGCAATGGCTTTATAAGTATACTCAACACCGATGGCGCTGACTCGCATAAACATAGGATGGACCTACACGAGAACGCTGAGACCAAGACAGTAACCGCAACATTCGAGCTCCCCGGTCTCAAACCCCAAGATGTCAATGTTGACGTCCATGGGAACCGCCTGATCATATCCGGGGAGTCGAAGCGCTCGGAGAACTATGACAAGGGCGGCTATGCGGTGCAGGAACGCTCGCATGGCAAGTTCTCCAGGACCCTTCTGCTCCCTCAGGGAATCAAGGTGAGCACCACCTAGATTTTGTGTGATAATTCGGTGCTTATGGCGATTTCACTGCACAGGCTGAGGATATCCATGCGAAGATGGAGAATGGAGTGCTCACGGTGAGCTTCCCGAATGCTGGACCAGACCAGCAACCCCAGCGGGTTGAGATCGCGTGAAGACGCCGCACTATCTGCCTGCTCCAACCCATAATGGCCTCAAATCTGTATCATTAGCACCATTTGAAGGTGGAATAAGGAATCTTGGCGCGTTTGTACAATAGTTGATACTCTACCTGTGTTTTTTTTTTTCGAATCGAAGTACTGTACCATTTCATTCAATTCGATAGTCACGCGTCACAGAAGGGCGTGTCGGCGTCGAAATTAGCCCTATGTCACACGTAACATTTCAGTTTGTCGAATTCATTTTTCGGGAACAGAATTTGCTTCCGCTAATACTTGATTAACTACGCCATAACTATGTTTCTCGACTCAGTACTCAAATTCAAATCTCGCCGTCGTCATGATGGCGCCAGAACGTGTGGGAATACAGAGTATTGGCCTTCTTGTTTCTTCTTCCCCGCCCTAACTCCTCCGCCACATCAGCGCCACCCTCACTATGGTTGTTCTCAGGCTGGACAATTTGTATATTGCCACCTTCAAACTCCAAGCTCTCTGCGTCCGTCTTTGAACCAAGCCTCCCGTCCACCCTCTCAATACCAGCTGCAACACCAGCACCCACCATATCAGCAATGACAGCTGCACACGGGACATCGGTATCGTCAAATGATGTGTCGTCGTAGAGGTCCACCTCCGTCTCAATATCTTCGTTTGTGTTTGTAGTGTCTGTAGTTTCTTGAGGCTTCGCTTTGGTGAGTTCTTCCCAAAAATGAGGGTCTTCTGATTTCAACTTTCACAACTTGTCTCGTGCAGCAAAGCCAGTAAGGCTCTCGTATGACAAGTTAAATTCGCGAATGCGACACATCTCGAATGCCTACAATCATGATTCAGTATGTGCCAGTCATTTTCTTTCCTTCTTACCTTCTTTACAATGATGGGTTTCCCCACAGTTTTGAATGTGTCCCACATCCATGTGACACTTCGATTGCGCATAACGGCAACGCGCTTGTCAATGACCAAGTCCTCCTTGTCGTGTGCGAGCTGTTGTGATATCTCCTGCACCACATCGCTATGGTACGATCGCTTTAATGAATGCTTGAAAACTCGCTGCATTCCAACATCGCAAGGCTGAAACAAGCCTGTGCACCCTCCAGGTACAAAGTTCAGCACAATCGTTGGATGGTTCTCCTTCAACTATGTTTGGAATTCGAGGGATCGATGAACTGACCATGCGTCAATTTGCCACGCTGATTTTTGTGTTTGGGGTAAGCCGAGCTCTTGTTTCTTCCTTTCAAAATATGGTGCAATGATCTCGTCAACCAGGGTATGCATTGTCGCTTGTGTCGACCAGTATGTTTTTGTATTTGAAAACTCAAAACGAAAATTTTCCTTGATGCAATTTTCATAGTTTGCAGTCGATGGATTCAGACATGACATTTTTGTGTGGCCTTAGTAGATAGCTTGCAGCAGAAGCATTGTGCCGTCATTGGCAACCGAGACGACAACTGTGAACGCGCATTTTTCATCATTACCAATTGCAGAGACTTGCTTTGCACCTGTCTTTGCCCACGTCAGGTTGGACCCTTGTGCGTAGACAACTTGAGTCTGGTCAGTATTGACGTAGAGACCAGATGGAATGTCCTCCTCTTTGATGACGTGCGCTAGTCGAAAGAAGGCTTGCTCGCATAAGTCTTCCCAGTTATCTGGAGTTTTTTGGGCAGCTCGTGTTGTGCATCTCTCGGACCAGTGCAGGGTTTCATGCAACCAATGTCATACAAATGCATCTGAACACTGGAACTTTGAGCCATCTTTCGCTTGGTGCTCAAAGATGTTTGGTGCCGCATCAGAGAGGATTGCAATGATGATCCCTTGGATTGTGACGAGAGTAAGTACAGCTCCAGCGTCATGAAGAGCTTCAAGCCGTTTGATGATGGCCTTCTCAGCAGCGGGGTACTTTGTCTAACCGAACTAATCAACATCATTCCAAACCAGCAGTATTGATAGCACGTACGAAAATCCCTTTTTTACCTCCATTGGAATGTCCCTGATGATTGCCCAGATTTGCCATCCAAATTGCAGCTTCAGTCCATTTGGGCTTGCCACTGCGATCGATCCAGCCCTCAACCGTGGACCTTGCAAGACCTTTGAAGGTCACTGAATCTTTCTTCTTCAGAAGCTGAACAATCCGTGTTGAGCTCCAGGAAACTGACGGATTTTTGGCAGCATTATCAATCTGCACCCATGTAAAAGGTCCATGCCAGTTGTGATACACTGCGTCCTGCTTCGTGTGGATGCGCTTGTGACCTTGAGAATGCTTCTTATGCTGACACTGATGTTCTTTGACCATTCGGTCAGGCCTTGTTAACTCCGCAATTGACGAACTAGATCGCTTAGGTGATCGGTCTTCTAGAAGTGTCATGTCTAATGTACGACGCTGAAATATGTAAGTCTTTTTGCAGACAGGTGAAAAATCTAATTGACAAACCTTAAGATTTTGCTCTCCCCGTACAACTTCAATGTCACGTGTCTTCTGACGGTACTTTCTTTGTCTTTCTTTGTTGCCCTCTTGTACACTCATCCGTCGTCTCTCATCAGTCATTGCTCGAAATTCCGCTGCCTGCTGCCACCCATCATCCAACTTTGCCTCAACCACCTGTAGCTGAGCACGTAACTCTTCTGGTGTGCATGGCTTTAGAAACTTCATCAGTCCTCGTGCTCGTCCATCCTTCTGCTCTTTGATAGCCTCCTGGATCGCAGACTGATGATGCTCTTTGGTAAAGGCCTTCTTTTTTTGCAAACTGACAGGAGGTGTTGACTCGTCGTCACTTTCAGTAGAGCTTGAATAGCTGTCAAGAGACTCTGTATCACTGACGAGTGGCATCTCTGGGCTTTGAGCTTGTAGGGGAGTCTGTGTCCCTGTTGCTAGAGATGAGAATGAGAACTGATAATTCTGACCAATGGACTCAAAACTCTATAGTTGGTGTTAGTTTGTCCTAAATGAGGTGACGGAGTCTTACCTGGTCGAGATGTTGGTTAACAACATTCAACAGAACTTGTAGCCGGCCATTTTGTACTTGCGAGGCGGAAGTAAGGGAGTATGTTGTGGGAAGAAAATGGTGTGCAAGAGCATTGAAAGAGAGAAGACCACAGGAGACGAGATCTTGTTGGCGAGTGATGTTGAGTGTGTGTTCAGTGAACTGGTGGCCAGAGTGATGAGAGGTCCACCACTGCAGCACGGTGCGTAATTCTCTGTATGGTTCTGGATTCAGTGAGTCGCCGATAAGGATAATGTGTGATTTGAAATCCAGAACAACAGCGACCCAATGATTATGATTTGTGTTAACCAGGAACCCAACTTGACTGCCAAGCCCAGCAGCTAACTCGTGCCCTATCCCTCGTGCCCTTGCAAAATACCGACTATCCTCGTACTCTCCAGATTCGCGGCATTTGTATCCATTTTCTAAGAAACCATAGAAGTAGGTGTTCTCGATCTTGATCTCTTGACCCCCTGGTTGAAGCCGAACTTTCCTTCTAAGCAGTTCGAGCATCTGATTCTCGTGGACATCGCTGAGCCACTGATTCGAGGCATATTTTGACAACTCGACAATGGGTTCTTCAATGCTAAAACCCCTGATATTGCCACACCATGAGATGCAGCTGAAAGCATGATAAATCTTTGCAATCAAGGTTTGAGTTTCGTCCTTATCTTTATCTTTCCATGACTGATTCCTCTTCTCCAAGTTTTCTTCGGCACGGGCCCATGGTTCAAGGTAGTTGGCTCGAATAGCAATGACTTCATACCAGTAGGTGAGAACCCAGCATGGAAGTCGTGCTTCGATGGCACCCATAAGATGGGGACACTTCAAAGATCGTGCCCCTTCATGTAATGAGTGGATGCTCGACTCGATAAGCATCTGAAGTGTTTGGGGGGGAGGAATAGGCATGTCCTGTATGTCTCTTGTGTCATGGACTGATGGTTGATCTGAGCAAAAAAAGTCTTCTGGGCCAAATGTGTTTTTTACTGTTACAATTGTAGGAAACTTGAAGGCTAAGAATTGGAGGACCGAAAGTTGTCTATCAGGTAGAAGTTGTGACAGGACCCCTTCAGGAGGTTCAAAGGATGGGTGCAAATAGCGAGGGGATTTTATGTCACTCATGTTGAATGTGCCCGAGTAATGAACAGCACAGTCCACTCATTTGTTTTCATATGTCGAAATTTCAGGCATGTCACAGCACAAACGCGAAAAATACGGTGCTAGGATATTTTCTCACATTGTCAGATTTCCTCACATTTTGGTGACATGTTAACAACTTCAAAATACCAGCCCAAATATTCTTAGATACTCTTGAAATAAACCATCATTTCACACTGGTAAATAATCACATTGTAAAACACATGACCGGGACGTCCCCGACATGCGCACAAATTCGCCTAAGTCCCACGCTGTACTATATACATGCACGTCCCAGTCGTCCTCAAGTGTAACTGACCATGTCGACAGGACTTCGCTTCAAGTGCATCTGTGCGCGCTGCTTGCAGCATCCTGACGGATTCATGTACCAGACACAGCAGGTTATTGCAAAACATACAAAGAAGTGGCCCCCTGTTGTGCAACCATCGGCCATCCAGGCCAGTATCAGCACCAACACAGGCACGGATCCTATGACCAATTTGTCCAGGCCATCATCTGAAGGTACTGGCAACAACCAAGAGAGACCACAGGGTCGATTGCCAACGGTCGAAGAAAATGAGTACGACTTTGACTTTATAGATGACAACCTACCTGCAGGGGAGTCAGACAATCATCCAGTTCCTATCCCACATCCAAGAAGACACCAAGTACCTGGCAACCAGCTGCTTCAAGACTTCAATTTCTGTCCAGTGGCATGACCTGATGTGCGAGTGCCTGGCAGTGATCAAGATCAGGAGGATCGGCTGTCCCTTGTTCCATGAGCCTTCCAAGAACGTCCGGGTGTCTGTCTTGCCTACCTCAACACAGTCATAGCGAACGTCTTCGGAAAGCAGAGCATCCAAGCTGCAACGGACGCTCTCAACAATCAGCTAAATTGTATGCTTCTCGAAGGTGTATTACCCAAGCATCCATGGCCTGTCCGTCATCTCTTGAGCATGAAGTGTCGACTTGGCATTGATCCTGACCAATGGGTCACCCAATACACCATATGCCCCAAGTGCTGGAAGCATCTTACACCCAATCAACTCAAAGAGCTTCCATCTCCCGAGTGTACTGTTCCAGACTGCCCAGGAATATTATACAATGAATGTACAGATGCGAAAGGCAAGTGTATCCAGATCACAAGAAAAATAATGCTGCATGTATCCCTTATCGGAAGCCTTCAACAGATGTTCATGCGACCTGGTTTTGCAAAATCAATTCGAGACAGCCGACAAGACCAGCCACAATGAAATGATGACGACGACTATGTCATGACAGACATTCATGATGGCACACTATGGCACGAACTCGAGACGAACACTGTCCGTGAGATTGGTGAATTAGGTACCGTCCATGACTGCCCTCAGGACCTGGATAATGGACCGACAGCGACAAAGCTTACCGAACATCGATATGGCCTGCATTTGACCTTGAATATTGACTGGTGAGTTTAAACCTGTCTTATTGCGCATCTTGAACACCTACTTAGATATTATGTAGGATGGGAATACTTGAAAATCGGCTGCATTCTAGTGGTCCCATCTACTATGCTATAAACGACCTTCCACGAGATCAGCGATTCTTGCAGGTCAATGTCATATGCGCTGCGATTATGCCGGGTCCAAAGGAGCCAAACATCCAGAAAATCAATCATTGCTTGGAGCCCTCGACTCGTGAGCTGATGGACCTCAAGAACGGTATGCAGTCACGGTATAACTCATTGTATGCTCACTTGTATTGTGTTATTATACTCAGGCGTGAAAATGGATGTTTATGGAGAAGAAGAAGTTGCAGACGTGTTTGCAGATAACGAGGTCCTTGCGTGTGATATGCTGGCTTCACATAAGTGCAACAGAACGACTGGCCACAGTCATGACTTCCATCCGTGTGCATTTTGTGACACTGATGTTGTCAAGATCAACACACCAGACAGTTACAACAACAGTAAGCAAACACTAGCATTACTTTTCATATGAATGATACGTGGTGGATAGCATGGTCTGCGAAGGACGATTTTCACATGCTCCATCAGAGTTTCTACTCCAGGGATGCCGGTCCTGCTCGTCAAGAAGCAATCTTAAGGGATCATGGTGTCAGATGGTCTATTCTCAATCTACTCTCTGGCTGGTTACCATCGAAGAAGTCAGTGCTCGACTTCATGCATTGTATCTTCCTTGGTACATGTTTGCTTCTTGCAAGCACTAATACTGATGGCCTGTTGAAGGCATCATATCACATCTATTTATGCGCATACTATTTGGTGGACATATGCTATCAGGAATGGGTGGTAACGAGTCACCAAAACATTGCTTCAAAGATATCGTGAATGCTGTTAAATGGCCCAGCCATGTCACTCGATTGCCAAAAAATGTATTTTCGCCCACTGTGATTGTTGATTTACATTGATTCTCGATCAGCTAGGTGAAAATCAATCACTCAAGAAGGCAGACGAGTGGCGTCGTATTCTAAAAATCACCCCCGTCATTCTCTGGTGGTCTTGGAGGGATGCTAACGACGAATTACCAGACTCAGAGCCTCCTCTTCCACCCAACACCGTTGCCCCAGATTTCTTGCGTAACTGTCGCTTGTTGCATCAAGCCATACTTCATCTTTGCATGGGAGTCCGCATTCTGGCATCCCACTCAATCTCAATGGCTCAGGCTCACACTGGTCAGAGCTTCTTAGCCCACTACTGCCTAGAATGTCTGCAGCTTCGCATCCCACTCACCATCAATCATCAAGCTTCCATGCACACAGCCGCAATGATCAAGAAATGTGGTCCGGTATATGGCTGGTGGCTCTTTGCATTTGAGCGGTTCAATGGCATGCTGGAACGTGTTCAGCATAACGGTCATGACGGAGGATGGATCGAGTTAACTCTCTTACGGAACTGGGTCCAAACTCATCTCATTTATGAGTATCTTCTTGCTCTTCCCGCTGACACTCATTCTTTCAAATGAGACCAAATCAACCGCATCATCAAGGTACAAGCCCAAGACCGTGGAAGTATGATGACACAGATAGCAGTTTATCAAAGCAAAGCTGCTGAAGGTATGTGTTTGTTGTTCTCACACCAATCTATCGTTTGATGCTTGTTTTCCATCAGACAATGTTAGGTTACCACTCCATAATGCCAAATTAATCAATTTCCATGCATACAGCTTGCCTCAAGGAGTATTCTACCCCATTCTTCTCCAGTACTTTCACTCTCTAAGGCCTGACCTGAACCTTGTTGGCGATTTATCATGTGATAATGGCACCCCCTTCTATGCGAACAAGGTAGCTCGTGCACTCACATACATTCGCAAGGATGGAATTCATTATGGCTGCACCATGAATCGACGCACACAAGCCAACTCATTTGCATTCATATCTCAAGGTAGAACTCGTGTCCCTGTGCAGATCATGGCACTATTCATGGTTGGTGTTCTCGATGTCGTTCCTCATGTTTGTGCGGTGGTGCGGAGATTAGTTTCCGATGATAACATTCCCACAATGCCGTGGGACCTCAAGTAAAGTCTTTCTGTTAGCAGATACAAATGCTCATCTTTTTTCAGTGCATCTACACTCAGTATTCATGTCTCCTATGCTGAACTGGGCCCTCAGGAAGTGATTCCGGTCTCATGGATCAAGTGCCCACTAGCACTGATTCCAGTGTACTCGAACATTATCAAAAAGGATCTATGGATTACCATCTTGTTTGACCATGTAAGTGTACAAATAACTCTCGTGCAACAGTCTCAAAAAAGTCTGCAGGCAGGGAATGAACCTGAAGACTATTTAGAAGACGAAGATGGGGAGTAGATGAGGTGCGCACTTTTCTGCATATCTAGTCACTGAAATCATCATCTGACTCTGCAGCAGGTGGCAGCTCACGAGCTTTGCTAGTACTCGCTACTGGCTGTGCTAGAGCAGGCATACTCTCTCGTCCCTTCCCTTTGTCACTTATCATCTTTGATTTTCCTTTACCTTTCTTTGTCCCGGTTTCCTTCTTCTTCGCCTCCATCTCCTCAATTTTCACACACTTCTTCGATGCAATCAGCCTCTTCTGTTCCTTGACTTGCTTCTGGCCTGCCACCATCTCCTCAGGATCCTTTGGATCTCCCCATGTGCACCCATTATCCAGGATATAACTAGGCGAGTCATACTTCTTGTTTTCTTCTTTTGCGAGCCACTCTGCTGATACCATCCATTGGCGCACTCAATTTTCGATTTTCTTGGCAGCTAAGATAGGAAGCTCTTTTGGATCACCTTTAACACAAACAGTGAAGCGAGGAGGTGGGTTTGGGTCCACCGCTTCATCCACTGCAGCCAAGAACTTCACCATCTTGAATTTGTTTGGGCGTGAGTGTCAATTTTGCCAGGTGTTATCATACTTACAATATCACTCCGATATGTTCCCACATGGGAAATGAAACGTCCAGTCTTCTGTCCCTGCGCATCAACCTCGTCTTCATCTTGTGACATCAAGGACTCCATGAGTGCCATGTGATACTTCTCATCACCAAACTCTGACCCTTCTGGCAGGTTCTCAAATTTTCGGATATGAACTTCAAGTTTCTATGGTGTACAGGTCAGTTATGATATTTATAATGATATGATGACTTACGCCTCTTGCACGACTCTGTAATTTAGATCGTGAAGGTTTTGCGACTGTTACGGCTGACTCAGACGCAGGAGCGTTGTTGACTGTACCTGCCATTGCAGTCGTGTTATTTGCAGATGACACACCAGTGTGGCTGTGCTTTTTTTTCTGTAATTCTTGATATTTCTTGACAACGCGTTCATGCAGATCCTCTTCACTTATATCACAAAGAACAGGACCGCTGCCAGCGCAAACGGTAGCACCATGCTGATGAATGTAAGCAATGACCCACAGGATTTTGGTGTGATTATCAGAATGCTGATGAGATTCTGTCCAGCAGAACCACATCAAACAATCATTGGTGGCAGGATCAAGCGGCCAGTTGTCGTCATCACTTGGGTATGGAGGAAGAACATCAGCGGTAAGCTTGGCGATTCCCATCAGCATCTGAAAAATGATCCAAACAACTGCCTGCAAATGGTGTAGTATGGTTAGTGCTATGACATTCCCTTTTAATTCTACTGATCTGCAGACCTTTAGACCATTATCTCCAAATGCAAGGGCACTTTTTTCAATCTTCTCAACATCTCTCTCAAACTCTTCATCGGTCTCAGCATCAGCTGCTTCTCCTCCATCAATGCGACTGTTGATACTTGCAACCATGCTGGCAACTTTCTGCTCAAACAACTCCTCCAAGCTCCTTATCTCGGCTTTCATCTCATTCTTCACTGCTTTGACACACTGAGCACATCTCATCTCCAGTGCACAGACTTCCTGTGCGTGTTGCAGTTCCTGATTCTCCACAAGATCTAGCTGACGGTTGATAGTTGCCATCTGGCTTAAGACTTGTGAAACTTTCAACTTTTGAGATCCACCATTAGTCTCTGTCGAGGCGCTCAGACCTGCACCCCCAGAAACAGAGAGTCTGGGATCAACGACAGGAAGGACTGAAGATGGGCACTCAAACTCAGGACAGCAGGAAGGCACTAGTGTCATGGCCGGAACAGATACTGGATGACCACCTTGGATACATATGTGCCTCCACACCATGTGTACCAACCATTCCTACCATATGGATGGCCTGCTGGTACAGCTGGAGGACCATACAAAAGAGGAGTTGGAAAGTTGAAGTTGTATTCAGGGCTCGACTGCATGGAACATTGTGGGGGTGTTTGACATGTTGTTGCTCTCAATCAGTTTGTCCGCCTTATGTGCAATGTCTCCAGTATCATTCTTCTATATAATTGAGCTTGCTGCATTCAATCCTGAAGTGCTATGCATGTTTTCAAGCTATGTCGAAGTGTGATTATAGCCTGAGGTGAATGTATCTATGTAAGGAAATTTTGCATGAATTGTGGGGAAAATGTAAGGCAAACATGTGTTAGATTCCAGGCAAAGTCTGTAACTTCTGGTAAATTGCCCAACAAGAAGATACAACAGAAAACATCATGATATTTTCGTGAATTTTCACACTTTACCCACATTTTACCCAGATGGTATTCCGTGTGTTTGTGCTGTGGTACGTGCAGTTAAGCGCAGTCGTTACACCCAGATCCGATAACCATCTCCATGATCGATTAGATGCCACGCTGTCGAGAAAATCAATCTAGATCAACATTCAAATTTCCAGAGTTATTCTACCCGTCCCTGCATTTGCGATTGTGTATCAGGCAGAGCATGAGAATAGGACATGTGGGTTCGACACAGGCCCTCACACGTCTGAATGCGAGTAGCTAAGTTCTGATGGAGAGTTGCTCCAATGAATCTTTGTAAGGCTATGCAGTAACTGCAGGGTAATTCAGGACACTTCTCTCAATAGCAGAGAATTGCCCGCAAACAGCCTGCAGGCCTGCAATAGGTGGAACTTATCCACCAATTGGGCAAAGTTGTCAACAACGTTGAAATTCAATAAAGCCAAATAAACTATATTTCCTTTTTTGTGATAAACCAAGCGTCAGTAAATAGGCGCTTGTGTTCAAATAAGGAACAACGCCTTCCCCGCTTCTCGAATGTTATAGAATGCCATTGATAGCACATACCCACACCATCCAGACACTTCGACGGGACTCCTGGATCATCATGGATTTCATAACGCGTATATAAGTGTTGGTCAGATGTTGAATCATCGTCATCCTCGTCATCGCAATCATCGTCATCCCTCGTCATCGCAATCCTCGTCATCCTCGTCATCTTCGTCATCCCTGGACACTTTTCCATTTCTTATCTTCATTCACATATATAATACGTACCGTCTCGTTTCCTCATATCTCAGTCGTTGTCTCCAAACACTGAGGTATGGTTTCTAGTCTCTTGTCGTCCCACCATCTCTTACTATATTTTCTCTAGCGCTCTCAATATCAATCACATCTTCGCTTAATCATGTCTCTTTCGCTCATGTTCTGCGACCCATCCACTGAGTTCGACAGGCTATTCGACGATGCTTTCGACACCCGTTTCCGTCCCTCGCCTGCTAAGGGCAATGATACCTTGACTCGTCGTTTCAGTGAAGCGCTGCCCAAGTAAGTGCAATGGCTTCACGATGCTACTCAAAACCGATGGTGCTGACTCGCATAAACATAGGATGGACCTACACGAGAACGCTGAGACCAAGACAGTAACCGCAGCATTCGAGCTCCCCGGTCGCAAACCCCAAGATGTCAATGTCAACGTCCATGGGAACCGCCTGATCATATCCGGGGAGTCGACGAAACACTTGGAGAAGCATGAGAAGGGCAGCTATGCGGTGCAGGAACGCTCGCATGGCAAGTTCTCCAGGACCCTTCTGCTCCCTCAGGGAATCAAGGTGAGCACCACCTAGATTCTGTGTGATAATTCGGTGCTTATGGCGATTTCACTGCACAGACTGAGGATATCCATGCGAAGATGGAGAATGGAGTGCTCACGGTGAGCTTCCCGAGCGCTGGACCAGATCAGCAACCCCAGCGGATTGAGATCGCGTGAAGACTCCAACCCATAATTGCCTCAAATCTGTATCATTAACACCATGTGAAGGTGGAATAAGGGATCTTGAAAGAATCTTGGCGCGTTTGTACAATAGTTGATACTCTACCTGTGTTTTTTTTTCGAATCGAAGTGATTGATTTACACTGCACACTGCGTGAGCTGGAGTTTTCCCCGTATGCGACTCGGGACTAACGCAGCACCACAAAACAAAACACCAGACAACCCCAGATCCGATAATCATCTCCATGATCGATTAGATGCCACGTTGTCGAGGAAATCAATCTAGATCAACATTCGAATTTCCAGTTGATTCCGCGGATGCCAACCTTACTTCCACCCGAGCCGTGTATAGCCACGATCAAATCTAGATCTCTTGTGCATTGTGCATTAACACGCACTTCAAGGGCGTTCCGTGAGAGATCTAAACTGAAACGCACGAAAACAACGCTACTAAAACATGTATACACTAATTCCAAAAAAACAAAAAGGTCATGAGGGTTAAAACACGTATCACATCGTCTCGTATCATGAAAATCATTACATCAAAAGGCGGGGCCAAGAAGAATTACAGGTTCATTACAGAACCGAGTCATTATACGCGTATACATATAGGACAAACGTTGAATGGAAGATGGAGGATGGGAGGTGAATTACAACAGCACTTGACGAAACGTCGAAAGAAACAAAGTACCATGAACAATGAACAATGAACAGCGAACAACGAACAGCGAACGATGCAAGACAACACAGAAAACAAGGTTTTTGAAATATGCGAACGAAATTGAAGGAAGGGGATAGATAGGAACTTGAAGGTGATTACTGACCTCGCAGGATCAGGAGGCAACCGCTGATATCAACATACCCCCTCTCATTGTGGGGTAGCAGTAGGAGTCCTAACCATCCACTTCCAAACCTCACTGCCTCAGCATCGAATGCGACTGAGGAGCAGGAGACAGGTACCAAGGCGGGGTAGGCGGAAGGCCAGGTCGAGAGGGAGGGTGGTGCACGGAGGATTGATGATGACCTTGCGCCGCAGAGGGTTGATGATGACCTTGCGCCGCAGAGGATTGATGATGACCTTGCGCCGCGGAGGATTGATGATGTGCCTGCGCCGGCTGATGATGCGCTTGCGCCGCAGTGGATTGATGATGCCCCGATCCACTCGTAGGCTGATGATGTCCCTGATTCTGCTGCGAAGCAGGCTGCACAGGCGGATGAGACGCAGCAGGTGCATGACGCGACGTCGACCCTGATGCCGAACCAGCAGTCTGATGAGTCATAGAAGGAGTCGTGTGATGGGACATGGATGGGTGGTGTTGTACAGGAGGCGTTTGGTGGTGCTGCACAGAATTCGTCTGGTGGTGTTGTACGGCTGGGGTCTGATGGTGTTGTACAGACGGCGCCTGGTGGTGCTGCACAGAATTCGTCTGATGATGCTGCAAGACCGGCGTTTGATGGTGACTCATAGATGGCGTCGACATATGAGATCCAGACGGCGTAGCATGATGACTCATACTCGGCGTCCCGTGTGATCCAGAAGGCGCATGATGCCCACCCGAGCCCGCACCCGAGCCCGTCACCGAGACCGGACCCGTCGAGGACTGATGTTGCCCAGTCTGCATCACCCTCGAAGATGATGCCCGCTTCGTCGAGAGGCGTGGACGCGTATACGATCCACTCCCAGTCGCACTAGCACTCGCACTCGCACCACCACTAGCTTGCGCACCCGAACCTGAACCCTGACCCTGACCAGGATTAGGATCTTGATCTTGCATCGCGTCCCCAGTATCCGTATTGATCTGGAATGAACCTTGATGAATGCCCAAGTTCATCTTATCATCTGCTGCGCTGCTGTTGCTTCCATTCCCACCCCCAGTGCTCATAGCGCCAACGTTGATGTTGGGTCCACCCCCGCCTAGAGCAGCGCGTGCGCCTTTGTCTGCGTCTGCTGCCCTTGCGCTCGCGCGGAGCATCTCCATATCGATGCGTTGGATCGAGGGGGTCTCGCCGTTTGCGAGGGCCTTTTCGCGTTTGCGCACGAGTTTGGCATAATCTGTGCGGGTGGAAAAGATATTAACATCACTCGAACACAAACACAAGAGAGAAACCGAGACGTACGCAACCCACAAGCATTACACAACGTTCTCGCACCATCCGGTCCTCGTCTCCACTCCGGCGTCTCCCGAATATTGCACGAATGACATTTTCCAGGAGGTGTTGCGCGCTATCACACCCAAAACGATCAATTCACGTCCAGCAAAGGAAAAAGGACAAGGGAAAAAAAACTCACACTCCGCTTCCGATACTTATTCTTCCCCCCACCCGAACCCCCTCCACCCCCACCCAAAGCAGCAGCAGCCGCCAAAGTCGTGAGCGCCCGTTTGGTACGTATGAGCTCCATATCTGCTTCTGCTGTTGAGCGGTCTTGATCTGTGCCCTGTGCCCCGCCCGTTCCCGTTCCCATTCCTGCGCCCGTAGCCGTTCCGGAGGTTTGTGCCGTAGATGAAGATGAACCAACTGGGAGGCTTGTTGTAAGAGGTCCTGTTTGAGCTGCGCCTGACCCGGGACCACCTGAAGGAGGAGGCATCATACCCTCTACGTCTTCCCAAGGCCTCTTGGGTGCTCTATCAGGCGCGTCTACATCCATAACACCCATCCCCATCCCCCCCACACCCATCCCAATCCCCCCCATCCCCAACCCCATCCCAATACTCGAACTAACATTCTTCATACCCATCTCCAACCCATGCCCATGCCCGTGCACAGGAACAAGCGTATGTGTATGAGGCGTACTATGCGGCGTGTTTGTATAAGACGGGGAGGTGCTGCTAAAGAGGGACGAAGGGAATATGGGGATGTCGTTCCGGAGCGCTTCGAGCAGGCGGACTACTTCTCCGGCTCGGGCTGTCATTTCTGCGAGTTCTTCTGCGGGGGGTTGGTGTTGCGGGTTGGTGGGTTGAAGGGTTGCTGTGGGGGGGTGTTAGTGTTGGATCGGAAATGGATCGAGGGGGAGGAAGATTTGAGGAGGGGGATAAGTTGAGGGATTGAGTGTGTTGAAAATCAAAGGAGAGGAAGGGGAAGGGAGTAGGAAGATAAAGTAGCAACCAAAGAAAACGAATGATAAAAAGAGACGAAAGACGCACCATAATGATTCGCGAACTTGTACAACGCCGTGCAATGCTGAACGATCTAGACAGAAACGAAAACGAAAAACGTCAATACCGCGTTCATCATCCCTTCAGCGTAAAATAAACAGAACAGAACAGAACCCTCCTCTCCCAGCACGCACACCAATGAGAAAGAGCGACTCACCTCTCTGATAATCTCATCCTTGGCCATCTTCTCCCCTCCACCTGCGCTCATGACCCTCTGAGATCCTTGCGACTGAGACTGGGATTGGGACTGGGACTGGGACTGGGACTGGGACTGTGAAACGAATCCCATGGACCGGGCTGGACCTTCTAACATCACGGGCGGTCTTGGCTGTGGCTCTAGCATCGTCGGCCTTGCCTGAGACTCGAGCGCCATAGGTCTGACCTGGGATTCAAGCGCCATCGGTCTTGCTTGTGACTCGAGCGCCATTGGTCTGACTTGCGACTCGAGCGCCATCGGTCTTGCTTGTTGCTCAAGTGCCATCGGTCTCGCTTGCGACTCGAGCGCCATCGGCCTCACTTGCGTCTCCATCGTCTGTCTTGCCTGTGGTTCGAGCATCGACTGCCTCTGCGACTCCATCACCCCCCTCTGCGTCTCCATAGTCTGCCTCTGCGTTTCCATCACCCCCCTCTGCGACTCCATAGTCTGCCTCTGCGTCTCCATCACCCCCCTCTGCGACTCCATCGCTCCCCTCTGCGACTCCATCGTCTGCCTCTGCGACTCAAGCGCCATCGGTCTCCCCTGCGACTCCATAACCCCCCTCTGCGTCTGCGCCTCCAACCCCGCTCTCGCATCCCCAGAATGCCTCTGCAACAAACTAGGCCTCACTTCCACAGCACGAGGTTCGATACCCACATTACGCGTATCATTAGACGTCTGACCCCGCTCCCGAGACTGATGTTGGGGCTGAGAGTGTGTCTGGGGTGGAGGCTGAGGTTGGTGTTGGGGTGGAGGCTGGGAATCTAGTACTGAGGGACGGTGTTCTATCGCCGTCCGTCCGTGGTTCTGCGTCTGTGAGTGATTCTGAGCTTGGGGTTGGGGGTCAGGCGGAGCATGGTAAGATAATTGCTGCTGGTGATGCTGATGCTGTGCATTCCTCTCGGACGCATACCCCCGCACGTCTGTATGCGAGTAACTCCTCTCTGGTTGGGGCGCATAGGTTCTTGTATCCTGCGGTGGGGGTGGCGCGTACGGCTGGGGTTGGGGAGGTGGAGGTGGGGGGTACGTGTTTCGAGGTTCTTGATTGGGTGTATAACGCGTTTCTTGGGGTGGCGCAGGAGGAGGTACATATCCTCTCGATTCCTGCGGAGTTGCATACGTCCTCGTATCATACCCCCTCGTATCCTGCGAATAGACCCTTGCATCTGCACTCACACTCGCATAGGCCCTTCCATCCACTTCTGTGCTGGTATACGCCCGAGGTTCAGGTGCATAAGTCCTCGTTTCGGGTGGATACCTGGGATCCTGTGTATAATTCCTAGCATCGGGGTAACCACGTGTATCCTGTGGGTATCTGGGGTCTGGGGTATAGGATGGCCTTGTTTCTTGTGTGTACCTAGGATCCTGGTATGTGCGTGTATCTGTGTAAGGGCCTTGAGTAGGTTGAACGTAACGTGGATCTGCGGGAGTATAGACGCTTCGATCGTCTGGTACTGAGTCGCGTGGTGGTGATTGAGTGTGTGATTGTGTGTTTGGATAACGCGTGTGTGGATGTACATCGTTGTTGTATCGCTGCCTGTCGGGTGTATTAGGGTAGGCTGTTCTGTCGTTATTGAAGCGAGAATCTTCTATAAAAGGTCTTGAGGATGAGGTTGTTGATTCTGGTTGTTGGTAATGAAAAGAAGTACGATGTGGTCTTGCGCTTATTGGAGTTGGATAAGTTGTTGTTGGGTCTACTGTCGTTGGTACTAGTGGAGTTGTACGTGCAAATTGTTGATTCGGTGGCCAAGCTGCGCTTAAAGGTGTTGGGTAAACTTCTTCGGTTGTTGTATGTGCTAATTGAAGTGATTTTATTGGTGGTAAACGAACTTGAACGTCTGGTGTAGAAGCTAGTTGTTGATGATGATGATGAGGACGTTGTCGGCGAGGTGACGCCATGGTAAGTATCTTCGGCGTATCTCCCGATGACGGCGGATAGATCTGACAAACCAATCTAGGTCAGATTCAACGATACCCGATCCAGTTCTTAACTAACTTATACTCACCAACCTTTTAAAAAACACTATTCAACGTCTTTAAAATCAACAATCCTTTACAATACCTCTTTTATGAACGAGAAAGTCGAGGAAGAGGAGGTGAGGGATTGGCCTGGCCTGGGGTTTGGGTGCAGGGGTTAGGGCGTTCCCGCTGCGTTTTTCAGTTCAAAAGCGGAGAATCAATAAATACACGTGGTCGGATCTCAAATCGAGTAACCCGATTAAATAAAAAGATAATATCACATAATAACTCTATTGACTTTCAGATTCTAAATCGAAGCAACACCCACCTCAAATTTAATTTGAAGAACTTGGCCAGACTTCCTACTATACCGTAACAAAATTATTTGAGACAGCCCTCACTAGATGTATGCCTACCACTCCTAAAGACACGCCACGTCCTCCCTCTTACACTACAAGTCCCTTCCGACTTGCAGCTACTTCCCGACTGTCGCTTATCGCCTTGGTTTCCGGAGCCATGCACGTTCGTACCCCGTAAGTCTTTGAAATTCGAGCTCCACTAGATGTTATTGATTGGAATTGCGTTTCATCCCAGAGTTCGCACATTGGTCGACGACGAACATCGACCTGCTTGACGATCTGACGACCGACGCTTATCCAGTCTACTTCTACCTTCACCAATTATCTCATCATTTCATCACCTCTACAGCCCAGATGGATGACGACTGCTTTCCAGCAGACCTGATACGTCATCAATCATCTGGGCTTTCACGAATCACGGTCATCTCTCTGGGCTTTGACACGCTACTCCAGGCCGATATCCATATACGTACGTCAGACTCTCGTGTGTATTTGATAGTCGTGCTAGATCTGGACTTCAACGAATCGCACCCACTTCTTCTTTATGCCCAGACAGACGATGGCTCGAACCCGCGCGAATCCACGCGGTTTTGGGGTATCGGCTGTCTGGGCTGCGATACGTTATTCCAAGATGACTCTCATCGATATACAGGTATGATCTCATGGTCGATTCCTGACGGTCGTGTTAGGACTGGAATCGCAAGGGCTCTGATAGGGCTATGCAAACCGATGCAGATTTTTGGCGATGTTCTAGTCGTATGGGTGGTATGCTACTCCAGAGCGGCTCTGATCAATGTATGTATGTTATGATCTCGGAATCTTGTTGCTCTCTGTCCTTCTCTGAGCCGAAACGCCAATGGTCGCCTCGCACCATTAGCTATTTGGGCATCCGCGATTTCTACCATAGTGGAACTCTTGATCTATCAGTCGTCTAGGCAAATCGTCAGGAGTACTCCAGGTTGCATGGGATCGATATCAAATAGTGTGCGTGTTATAATGTGATTACTTCATGTGACGAAGGTAGACGAGAGCGCATGAAGACGTGAAAAGAGCGACTGGAAAGGAATAAAGCGTGGACATGGACAAGTTGTTTGGGACTTATGAACTGCTCTTCACGAAGAAGCTTGAAAGCAATGAAAGGACGCAAGGACCAGAGAGGTATACAGAAAACATACAAGGAAGGAATGAACCTAGTTCAAGGTCGTAGGTACATGGAGAGTCAATTGCTTGCCCGCAACGATAAGAATATGACAAGTTCTTCCCGAGACCGGACTCATGGATGATTCAGATCTGGATCTCGAGTCCGATCAATCTGGCGGCAAGCTTCTGCAGCACCTGAAACGCGTTCCTCAAAACATGCACTGCAACTCGTCGCTTGCGTTGCGCAGCTGATTGCGAGCGTCAGACGATGAGGTTGAGCATCTGGTCTGGCTCGAATCAACAACGCCAGCCTTGAACTCAGCATCTGGAATGCCAGCAAAATCGGCGATCTAATTCCCGATAAGAATCTCTCCGTCTGTGTTGACGTCAACCCGGTTACCTGCCATCTGTCGTCCGCTGGTCAACGTCTGTATGATCAACAATGAGTTGTACATTCCCCGATTGGCATGTCTTCCTATTTGTCTGTTCAGAAGTTCTTCTGTTATAGATTCCCATTTAGTCTTTATCGCCTCTAACCAAGACGACTTCATGCCATCGATCCCTATCTGTATTATTAATCTCCCCTCTCCTCCGTTAATTCGCTCAATCTCTTTTCCCATTGGTTAGTCTCCTCTTCGGTGATTCTCTCCTCCCGTTCTACTGCACCACCCAATCGGTAATCGCCGCTCTTTAAAAGCCTGGATCACCGGTCCCACATGGCATCAACTTATCAAACCTGTATACGCCCACGCGTCTACAATACATAACTATTACATATTTATGTACCTTCACGCTGTCATAACTTTATTTCAACATTCAGGTTCCAAATGGACTTTACGATATTTCCGATCTTCTCTTCTCTTTAATCGATCTCTTTGCTTGCCTTAATCGACTTTCTTGCTTGTATAAACGCCCGCCCATATGCGCAAACACCCACGTTTATCAGCGCGCTCCATTTTAATTTGGAATGGGTATGGAGCTTATTTAGTCCGGTACGGTTGCGAATTACTCGGTGATTGCCAGCGGTAACAGGTTTTCGTGCCTTTGTCTTTTCATTCCTCTTCTTCAGGAACTGACCGCCCTCTCCTTTCCTTCATCGTCTCTTTTCTGTCTCACCGTCTGTCTGTCCGTCAAGCCTAGGTCTCAGGATCGTCAAGCATACTGCGTAGCGCCTTACGACCCTTCATTGTCATGGGATCTGAAAACACCCAGACCCGGCCCTTCCAATTCAACACCTTATCGACTATCTTGTGCCTGCCTGGCCCTCTTCCATCGGACTCGGACCCACGTCTGTTAACTATCTACCGTCATATGTAGTAGGGTCTCATGATCTTGTACCGTAACAAGATTATTTGGGACACTACATACATGATGCCGCCCTTTGCCTAGGCCTTTTACCGGCGCGTTCTTGCGATTGAACGTCCCTTCTAGATGCACGCTTTATCTTTGTTCGAAAGGCAAGCTTTTCCACGGGTGACCGTTTGCGTTCCTTGTAATTCCCGCAATCCTCATAACATTTCTCCAGTCGGTGTTTTCACTGGACGATCATGCGGTGTATGTTACTGCCGAAGCGCACCCCCAAAGATCCTAGGTTTGTCCTCCCGCTAACTCAGATATCTTCTCCCTCTCACACATCGCCATCACAGCGATCCACTATCCACTACATCAGCTGTATAAAACATCAAATACTAGGTTCTTCCGACTTGCAGCCCCGATCCTCTACTTCTCGACTGTCGCTTACTCCACTCGATGCGATTGGAAATCGTGATTAACCAATGACTCAAGACGATCGCCATCGATGTGTGGCGTTCTGACGTCGATCAGCACTTGGTGGGTTCATGTTAGCGATAAAGATAAACATTGACCTGCTTCGACGATCTGATAACTGATGCTCATCTACAGTCTACTTCTGCCTTCACTCATTAGTCCCATCATTCCATCTCCTTCCCCGCAGCTTAGATGGATGATGAATGCATAAGATGCTTTCGAGCAGAACTGATGCGTCATCAACCATCTGGAATCACTTCTTTACGCCCAGACAGATGATAGCCCATTGGGAAGCTTACACGCGATTAGCTGTCTGGGCTTTCACGAATCACGGCCACCCTTCTTTACGTTCAGACAACGGGAAAGCCACCCAGATGTACCCGGAGCATTATCCTTTGTCTGGGCTTAGACACGTGCACGTTACTCCGGACGACTCTGATTGATATCGATGTGCGTATGTCATGATCTTGTTGTCGATGCTTTTGTTGATAGTCATTTTAGGTCTGGGCTTCCACGACTCGCGGTTATTTCTTCCTATTTATGTCCAGACAGATGATAACTTGGAACTTTTTATCGATCGCAAAGTTTCGGGTCATCAGCTATCTGGGCTTTGATAGATCATAAGGGGCAGAGCGCTTGGATGCAACTGATCTGCGCTTTCATGGGTCGCGGTCATTGCATTTTTTTCATGTCCAGACAGATGATAAACAGGCCTAGGATGATATCCATCCAGGTTTTGGTTATCAGCTGTCTGGGCTATTCTAAGGCGACTCTGATCGATATCAATGTATGTATGTCAGAATCTCGTGGTTGATGCTTTTTTGATAGTCGTGTTAGGTCTGGGTCACGGTCACTTCTTCTTCTTTGTGCCCAGATAGATGATACGCCGAGATCATCTTGCTGTAATCGCGAAGACTCGGGTTATCAGCTATCTGGGCTTCCCAGATCGAAGGGGCATACCCGACTCCAATGTGTGCCTTCACGGATCGCGGTGGCTTCTTCGACAAATTATCATTCTGGGATGGTTTAACTCAGGACGTTCATCTGTCTAGGCTTCGACGCGCTACTCCAGGCGACTCTGATCAAGATTAATTAACGTGCGTGTGTCAGAATCTCGTGATCGATGCGTTTTGACAGTCGGACTAGGTATAGGTTTTTACGTATCACGAGTGTTCTTCTTTATGCCCAGACAGATCGGAAGGGCATAGCGCTTGGATGCACACCCGACTCCGATGTGGGCTTTCACGCGCATGGATCGCGGTCGCTTTTTATGCTCAGACAGATTATCATTCTGGCATGGTTTTGAACCAAATCAGGATGTTCATCTGTCTGTGCTTCGACGCTGCTACTCCAGGCTACTCTGATCAATATGTATTAACGCGCATGTATGTCAGGGTCTTGTAGGTTGATGCTTTTTTTGATAGTCGTACTGGATACAGGGCTTCCAGGAATCACGGTCACTTATTCTTTATACCCAGACAGATGATATGCTGCCTAGTGTCATCGCGAAGATTCGGGCTATCAGCTGTCTGGGCTTTGACAGATCGTAAGGGGCATAGTGCTTGGATGCAGAATTGACTCGGATATGGGCTTTCACGGATGGATCGCGGTCGCTTCTTCTTCATGCCCAGACAGATGATGAGAAGAAACAGTCAAGCGTTATTGATTTTTTTCGCTCATCAGCTGTCTGGGCTTCGACGCGCTACTCTGATCAACACCAAAGTGCACGCTGCTCCAGGCCACTCTAATCAACACCAAAGTGCGTATGTCTGAATCTTGTGGTTGATGCTTTTTTGATAGTAGTGATAGGTATAGGCTTCTACGTATCACGGCTGTTTCTTCTTTATGCCCAGTCTCGAAATTGCGAGGTTTTAGGGTATCAGTTGTCGGGGCTTTGACAGATCGAAGGGGTATAGCGCTTGGATGCACATCCGACTTGGATCGAATCTGGGCTTTCACGGATCGCGGTCACTTCTTCATGCCCACAGATGATTTACCAGACGTCCCGAAAATTTTGGGATTTTTGGTTCATCAGCTGTCTGGGTCGACACGCTGACTTCCTACCGATATGAATGTGCGTATGTCATGGATCTTGACAGTCATGCTAGCTTAGGTCTGTCTCAACGAGTCCCAGGGGCTCTTATAACGCTCGAAAAACTCGTGTGTGATTTTTGGCGACGTTTCAGTAGGTGGTACGCCACTCTGGCAGTTACGATTAAATCACGCAATCTCTGAATTTCTTGGTCTCGTCGTTCTTTTCCTTCTCCGAGGCTGAGGTGAATGATATCATACCAATGTTTCACTGTCAGCCATCTGAGCCTCAATATCCCAACCATTCTTGTACCTCAATCGCACCACTTCAGCTTCTTGCTTCATTGTTATGCTAGCGCTGATGAAGATTGTACTTGATGGGATAATTGCATGAATCGTGAGTCAAGCTTGTACAACAGTGATGCACAGGACCAAGGACGTAAAAGATATAAGGAAGGAATGAACCCATATCGTAGCTGATATCTGGAAAGTCAACCTGAATTCCCGCAACGATAGATTCTTCCCGAGTAACTGGCTCATGGATGGGATGATGATCGGATCTTGTGTCGATCTGCCTTCTGCCGCACCTGAAACACGTTCCTCAAAATGTGCACTGCAAGTTGCAACTCGTCGTTTGCGTTGCAGATCCTACGTACGCTGATTGTGAGCGTCAGACGAAGGAAGAGGTTGAGATGAAGGCTCTGAACTTGTCTGAGGGTGGCTCGCTCGCTTGAATCCAAACAACCGGCTAAACAGACTTTGGAATGCCAACAAAATCGGCGATCTGATTCCCGATAAATTGGTTGGTTTGCTCCGTCTATCTTGACGCCAACTTGTCGTTAATTATTGCTCGTCCACTCCGTCTCGTCAACGTCCGTATGATCAACGATGTTTTTGTACGGTACATTCCCCGATTGGTATGTCTTCTTATTTGTATTTCAAAGGTCTTCTCTAGATAAATTCCCATTTAGTCTATAGATGCACTTTGTCGGCTCATTTCACTATAAAGGACAACTTCATGCCATCGATCCCTTAATCTCACCTCTCCTTCGTTAATTGGCTCAAGAAGGTCTTTTTCCTATTGGTTAACCTAACGGCCCCTTGTCAAAGTTCCTGCGTAATCACCATTTTCAGAGACTCTCCTCCCGTTCTCCTCAGCCATCGCCGGTCTTCAACCTAAGCCTGGATCACCTTCCTACCGCACATTGACATCCAGATTCCAAATGCACTTTACGATATTTACGGTCTTCTTCCTGCTATTGCGATAAACGATTTTTCTGATCAAGCTTCGTTGTCTAAGCTCGTTCAGACGATATTGCCAACGTGGCGTTCAACAATTCGGGTCTTTCTTCAACTTGCGCCTAGATGCTCTCGAGGGCATCGAAGCCAGACTCGTGACCAGTCTACATCGAAGCTAGCAGTTCCGCTGGATCCAAGTCCTGCCCTATAACTCGCATCGACTTTCCGACTCGCCGAGTCATGGCCTTCAAAGATCTCAGTACTCCCACAAGTACTGTTTCTGGATCTTGAGCTTTCGCAATTCGCAGCGGCTCAGTGCAGACTAAAAATGCATCCATAAAGCCCAGTAAACAGTACTATGACGGGAGGAGTCATGGTGTCATCGAAGGCTTCCATATTCAAGCTTACAACGAGACTACAAAACTTGCAAGTACTTGTTTGAGAATTCTTCTATTCCAAGATCTCCATTGCTCGAGCGGCAGTGAATTTTTTTTCAGAAGCAAGCACGTTGATCAACTCAGGAACAGACCACTAACTATGTAAGTCACATGTCGTGCCATCAACCATACTGCACCGATGCGAAAGCAGAAACACGACTCACTGCAGTTCACTGTCGCGACTTGTCACCTTATCTTTCACACATATCCAGAAGCCTAACTACCACGCCAGTAAGTCATGTGGCTAAATCCTAGGACAAAAACATACTGTAGCACCGCCTTCAGTCGTCCTGTGGCGCACATCCACACATTTATGTCCAGGGCAGCATTTTGAACTGTATGAGTGGCACTGTGTGGGACAATCATCACTGTCCACTATCAACGGGACTGGCAGATATTGATGCTGCCAAAGCAGTAACAACGGCGAGGGCGAAGGAGAAATGCATTGTTTGTGAGGATGTTATATGGGATCAAATAAATCTGAAGGGAATGGCAGGAAGACGTCTTACTTTTATGTGCTGGAAATATGATCGACCCTTGCTCATATGTTCCCAAGATCTTGAGCTCTTAGTTCACGCACGATTATACGGATGGTCTGACCGTAACTTAGTGTGTCAAGAGCGGGCCAGGTGCTGTAACGTGCCTGTGACGCGGCACTGCTACTATGTCCAGATTATACATACCTTTGAATTATGTATACCAACCTTCGAACGACCCTCTTGCTTCATCGCCCTCCCCATAGCATAAACACCCACGGTGATCAGCGCGCTCCACTTTCATTTGGAGTGGGTGTCCAGGAGGAGCCTGGAGCCTATTTAGACCGGTTGTGCTTTGCCACTGGCAGTGAATCGTGAGTCAAGCTTGTAAGACAGTGATGCACGCGTTATCACCGTTGTCGATACCTACGGTGTGAGCTGCTGCTCTCGCATGCCAGTAGCAAAGGAAGAGCCATTATCCCATCTGACAACCCGGGGTTGGAAACGACACTAGAACGTGGCTGGTGCGGTGAGGGTGCTCGGATGAATAGGGAGATGCGCGGTTGTTGGTCGCTTCGAATATGAGAGTAGGACTTGAAGGTTTCGCCAGTATTAATATTGTTATTAGGTACTAGGGTTGGGTAGGAACGATCAGATATTTGGTGGGAAGAGATAACTACCAACGGGTACCCATTATTGCAGGGTGGATGTACGGAAGAAGCTTGAAAGGACGCAAGGACCAAGGACGTAAAACATATAAAGAAGGAATGAACCCATATCGTAGCTGATATCTGGAGAGTCGACTCGAATTCCCGCAACGATATATTCTTCCCGAGTAACTGGCTCATGGATGGGATGATGCATATGATCGGATCTTGTGTTGATCTGCCTTCTGCCTTCTGCCTTCTGCCGCACCTGCAACACGTTCCTCAAAATGTGCACTGCAACCCGTCGCTTGCGTTGCAGATCCTACGCTGATTGTGAGCGTCAGACGAAGGAAGAGGTCGAGATGAAGAGTTTTAAAGGGTCCGAGGGTGGCTCGCTCGCTTGAATCCAAACAACCGGCTAAACAGACTCTGGAATACCAACAAAATCGGCGATCTGATTCCCGATAAATTGGTTTGTCAAGATCCTCTCCGTCTATCTTGACCTACCTCTTGTCGTTATTGCTCGTCCCCTCCGTCTCGTCATTAATGTCCGTATGATTTTGTACGGTACATTCCCCGATTTGTCTTTCAAAGGTCTTCTCTGGATAAATTCCCATTTAGTCTATAGATGCACTTTGTCGCTATAAAGGACAACTTCATGCCATCGATCCCTATCTGTCTCATGAATCAATCTACGCCTAGGTGGGTGGTCTAATGTTTAGGGCAAGCAGAGTCCCCCAGCTCCATGTTCGGGGGACTCGGTCACATTTCATTGGAGTCGCAGAATACAGGGCTCGAAGAGAAGAAAGAGAGACTAACTAGTGGATAGAAAGGCTCGGGAGAGACGACGGGAGATGGAGGCTCGATAAGGATGCTAAAGGGCTAAAAATGTTTTTTTTTTCATCGAGCGAGGAAGTGATGTGTCGGAGACTGCGAGATACAAATACAGGTGCGAGAACTGTCACAATTGAGTGAAAACGGAGAAAGAGACAAAGATCACTGACATCAGAAATGATGCCGCGTTTTTTATGGCGCGCGAGCTGTGCCGTGCGTAAGTGCATGCAATAAGCATCAGTAAATTCACACATTCCTTGATCTCCTTTTTCGTCACTTATTTTCTCACACAAGAACGAAAAGCTTCGTACAAGAACCAGAACGTCTCCTTGTAACAAGCTCCCACAAGTTAAAAAGCAGATCCCCTCCTCGTGTTTTTGGCTTTCTCGCACTTGTTTGAGAATGAACTGCATTGCAGTTGGTAATTCCCCCTTATTTTTAGCTTTCTCGCACTTAGTGCACACTTGTTAGAACAAAAAACCACTTATTTTCAGCTTATTCACACTTGTTAGAAGGAAAAACGACTGCATTTAAGGCAGTTAAGGAGCATGTAGAATGAAAAAGTAAAAAAAAGGAGAGCAAGTAAGAAAGAAGTACTGGTTAAGTAGATTAAAAGTGGTCATAAGGACCTGAAAACGAGATGTGATTGAAAGCACTGGCAGGTGCGGTATGATGACAGTAGTAGCAGGGGGGGGGGGGGCGACAAGACGGCATGTGAACAATGAGGAAATACAAATGTTCATAGTCAGTTGCAAAGCATGTACTGGCAAGTAGATTAAAAGTGTTCATAATGAGCTAAAAATGAGACATAATTGAAAGCAGATGCGGTATGATGACAGTAATAGCAGGGGTGGCAACGAGACAGCATGTGAACAACAAGGAAACACGATCAGTGGTATAGTCTGCTGGTAAAGTTCATAGTTGGTTACAAGATAAACTACAAAAACAAAAGACAATACCATCTAACAAATGAGTGCTTGCTCATCCTCAGATTCTTTGTTGACATCCATCCGAGTACCATGCCTCTTCACTGCTAGGGCCTGTGTGAGCTCAGAGTTTTGGAGAATGACTGAGTCTGGAAGGTGATTGATAGATGACATGTAGGACCTGGTGTGTGCACCCCAATTGACATCTGAAAATGCCAGGGGGACACTACTCTGCTTGCCCATGGATGGATTAATATCAAGGGGGGTCTTGTTGCCTCGACTGTTGCCAGCAGTGTCAATGTTGCTAAGGAGTATATGTCCATTGGCGAAAAGCCTGATGGCATGTTCTATCTGAAACACATGAACATGAGTAAGTTATATGAGGAGAGAGTATAAAACATGTGCTGCGGCCATGGCAAGAGCAAGGGCACCCTTTGAGTGCCCCGACACTGTATCATTCATTCCCAACAGGCTGACAGCGTCAGACATGGCACACTTGTGCTGAATGAGGACCTGAATAATGAGATTAGACTGGAACAGGTTAGACATCTGCCCATCCTCTGTAATGTTCCCAAACAAGAAGCTGAGCTTTTTGAGCAAGGCCAATGCGAAATATTTACAGTCCTGATCAGTCTTGAGATCATTCTGCGAAGTCATAAAGTTTGCGAGTACGATGAGGGCCACGTTGCTGAGGGCATTGCGCCATTCCAACAACCACTGAAGAGTCTAATGAAAAAGAAAATGATTAGAATTAAATTGTGTTGAAAAAAAAACATACCAGGGCGATGACAGCCCCATCAGCTACAACTGTGTGTCAAATCTCGTCCCTGTAGACCACATTCCAGACTGACTGCAAGATAGGACACAGTATGTTGTCAGAAAGGGTCCATACTTCATCTAGATGGCCGATGCAGCGAATGACAGTAGGGGTGAACTCTCTTGCCCATTTGTTTGCATCCTGACAACCCTTGGGAAGATGCTTCTTCCTGTATGCAGAACATGCAATTACCTTGCAGGGAGCGGCAATGACCCGAAGGGAATCAGTTCTAGTGGTAGCGGGGGACTCAGACTTCAGCCACTTTGCTGGAGAGGCTTTGAGCGTGGCAGTGACATTAGTCTAATATCTTGTAATCAGTAAAATATAGCATTAAGAAACCAAAGCATACTGTAGACATCAACCAGTGTGTGGACACTGGTTCAGCAGGTTCGGTCTTGACTATGACCATTTTGTTAGCGCTCTCCAGAACTTCGACATCAGAAGACAGAGTCAATAAGTTGTCATCATCCATGAGAGGTGACTGTTTGCACTTCTGACTCGCAACAGGCAAGTAAGAGTCCATAGGGAAAATGGAGCAGGACAAGGGTTTTTGAGGGAGGGAGGGAGGTTCAAGGTCTAAATCATGGTCTGAGGCCTCTAGCTTGTGACTGACATCAGAATCATACTTATAGTCCCATAGAAAATCAGGCTGTGTAGCAGGGATGGAGTCATTGACATCCAAATCTATAATGTAGTCATCAATATTGGCTAAGACATTAACATCTTCAGCCACATCAGGCTGCTTGGGTACCAAGGTTGCATTGCAATGGGTAGCATCTGAATGCACCACATCATCAAGACATTTGGAAACAATCACAATATCCTGCAGCTTTGGTTAAAACTACGTTGAACATAAATATAGATATTATCAGACTCACTGTTAAAGCCTTTTTGCCTGTCAAACGAGAAAGAGGCTTTGTGAGCAGCTCGTCGTCCTCATCATCCTTGTCAGATGCATGTGGATTGGAGAAAGTAGACACTTTCAAGCCTTCATCAAGGTGTGGGTGGAGGTGGAACATTGCTGCTGATAGTAGTTCCCCCTGTGAGGACCTTAGAGAATGTGGAGCTAGTGAACCGTGGGTGGATGGAAGGTGGGGCAAAAAAATTCACCTTTGAGGCTGGCTTTGAGACAGTCATAGGAACATTTGACATAGATCACAGGTATGTGACTTCACTTGTTCATCCAACGACATTCTCTAACAATAACTTAGAATAGCTGCTGTAGCATCATTTGCTGGTCTACGGCGATTCCCTGATGGCCACAACTTCAAACAATGGACAGGTGATGATTCCAAAGCACTTATGAAGGTCTTTATTCTGGCTATCAAAGGCCACATACCTGAAGACATGGTGTGTGCGTTTCGTGCACTCTTGGAATTTTGTTATATTTTGCGGCGCAATGTCATTACTGAAGCCTCCCTGAATCAACTTCAAGATGCACTTGACTGATTTCATCACTATCACCAGATATTCAAAACTACAGGCACAAAACCTCACTTTTTGTACCCTCGCTAGCATTCAATGTACCATTATGCAGACATGATCCAACTCTTTGGTGCCCTGAATGGATTATGCTTGTCAATCACGGAATTGAAGCATATTAAGGTGGTGAAGAATCCTTGGCAGTGGTCTAGCAAGAACAATGCCCTTGGACAAATGCTTTTGACTAACCAACACCTCGACAAGCTCGCAGCATCTTGCATAGACATCACTGCACGAGGCACACTTGATGGTTCTGTATTATCAAGAGCTGTTACCAATCTTCGTAAGTTTCTCTCCATCTGACCTTATCTTCTCGCATACGTAATGGGCCTGAAGATGAACCAGATGTCCCTGTTGTTGATTGTATGTGCTCTGATGGCAATCTCTAGCCTTGTTCTCAAAGTATTCAGGCCATCCAGGTAAGTGTTCATATCAACCTTCAAGCACTGCATGACTTTCTCATTTCTTGTAGATGGCTTACAGGGATTAGTGTAAGTCTTGTATGGTAGCTTCTGATTTTATCTGACACACAATAGTTTATATGGGGGATAGTTATGTGCATCATTCAATGATATTACTGTCTGAAACAGCTAAGCAAGTCTACCGCCAGGACACTCATGAGTTTAGTGAAGACATAAGATTCTCACCATATTTTGTGACTTGATGTTGACCTTGCATATCAGATACCCTCAGCTTGTTGGAGTGTGAGCCTGTCATGGCATTGTCAAGGCAGGTTTGTTCCCTGGTGTGGTTTATTAGTGAGTGTAACATATAACTCGAGCATTATGTGCGAAATCATGCTGATGGATCAACAGCCTTACTTTGTGGTACCCAAGACCCATGCTACGAATATTGAAGTAAGCTATCCCACATCTAACTGTCGGTATTGGTGTGTTGTGTTACGCGAAACCTCTTGGATGAGATCTGGTGGCACTAAACCTGCAAGGGGCGTTCAAAGCGTGGCCTTCGGTGCTAGCCCAGCAAGGAGCTTGCCTGTGCTAAGTCTAAGTAAGGGTTGAAGCCCTTACTTGCGTAGAGTCAATTGGAGTTTCTCGAGGATACGATCCAAGAGATGGAGTTCAACTCAAGAGTATCATCTCAAGAGAAGATGGTTCTGTGTACAGAGGGAGTTCTCTTAGATAAGAGAAGTTCAGACCCAATGACAAGATCAGATGAGAACCGAGTAGATTCAAGTTAGAGAATCTGTCTACAGTACAAGTGAGATATATATATATATATATATACGTAAGGGTGATATACTGGTGGAATGGTAAGGGTACAGGGTAAGCGGAGGCAATACCGAGTCAGTGGTAAGGGTCAAGGGTTTGTGTGAGTCATAAGTAAAAAGGGGTAAGAAGTACCGGTTGAATGGTAAGGGTAAAGGGCATGGGGAATTCCCATCAATGAGAGAACCGAAACAGTGGGAAGGGCATAGGGTTCGGTAGAAGCTGGGGCTTCTCTGATCTAGGGGTAGAAGTGAGAGCTTCTTGCATTTCAGAACAACGAGATCAAAAAGAAAGAGATAGAAATAGAATCGTAAACATGGTCTAGGTCCAGACGAGTCCAAAGAATGAAATGACACATAACGCTCATGTTACTGTAACAGGAGGTTGATCAGTCATTTGATTTGAGGCTTGCTGAGGACAGCTTCATGAGCAAGCTCAGCTACCTCGAAGTCCAGGTGGCTTCAAAATGGCTCCCAGGGTTGTTTGTTGGGGGTTGGTGGGTCCTGTGAAATGTTGCGTTGAAATGTTGAGAGTGTTTGTGTCTGCATTGGGATTTCAGAGTGGGGGTGAAATTCCATTCAGATGTTGTCAATGTTAAATGCAATTTCGTGTCATTCAGATTCATCTGCAGACAATTCATGTGGCAGAATCATGCCATGAATGCCTAGTATCATGCTGTAAGTTGTAGTGTCAAAGGTAGAGATGATTTACGCACCATCAAAATCATCCTGATAATCATTGATATCCATCCACTCATTGATGTCCATGAAGTCTGGCTTGTCAAAAATCTGAGCATCATGTACCTCAGGTTGATCACTAACTTGATCGGCACAATATGCATCAACTTCGACATCAACTGTGGCTGAGTGAAAATTCAGTGACCGATGGTTCACAATAGACAAGAAACATACCTGAACATTGGTTACGAGTGTTCACAACATGAAGCAGATCCTCCTGTAAGTGCCTTGCATTTTTTGCACAGGCAGTGCAGTGCATCTTGAAACCGCGCGGTTTGAATGTTCTACCACAGTATTCGCAAGTTACTTCTGAATCTGGCATGTTGTTGGATGAGAGTCGCGAGCATGGCAGTTAAAGAAAGGGCTGACTGGATAATGAATGAAAGAATGGTAGTGTTGAACATGCATGTGCAGCACCTTGCAATGACTAATAATGAATCAGACGTGCCGTGGTCCGGTTCAGTCCAGTTCAGAGGGGGTTGAGCAAGAACCAAGAACCAGTCCTAGGTCCGGTTCTACCAGAGTCGATGAACCCCCATGGAGTGCAGGAGACAGCAGGTAGTCGCACCAGGCAATGAGAGGCAGAGCTCCATGCACCTCGAGCTGCCAGACATCATTAGCCCCCATCAGCACAAATGCACCATGGATGTGGAAAAAAATGCACAGGCTTGCCCGCTGTGCACGGAATATCGACTACTTGTAGCTCCCACAGCCCAATACCTGGTCCATCTTGTCTATGTAGCATGTCAGAGACTAGGTTTCAAGTCCAGCTGATAGGGTGGGATTGCAATTGGGGGTTTCGCCCAGTTTCCCTATGTAGCTTGGACCAGCGCCAGATGTGTCCAGAAGGAGGAAAAGTGAGTGAGGGTCTGTTGATGTGGTTCATCATCAGGGTCGGCTGCTTGTGTGGTAGTTCATTCTGCATTTGGCAGGTCAGCTGCACTTGATAATGCTCGTTTATGGGTGGAAGATGACATACAACAGAGATTATCAGCATCATGAAGATGAGCAGATGGCTTGGTTGATCGACCAGAGTGTCTAGCGCCAGCAACAAATGTGGCCGCTTATTGTCCAGAATTCAAGAGGACGGAGAACACATTAAATTGAGGCTGGCTGCATACCAGATGGAGGTAGTGTCAAGGCATCATCATGCAGCATCATGGTAGAAAATAATAATGTGTTAGACAGATTCAAATGTCTGAGATATTACTAACTTGAGCATGGATCAGGCAGGGCATTAAGTTTTTCTTGTCTTCCATGTTGCTGGTGGCGATGCCAGGTAGGACGTCTGAATCACATCAATGACAGTAGTGGGATGGAAAGATAATCAGATCAAGTCTGCTTGGACTTTAAAATAGACAATAATAATAATTGGTGTTTCCAAGATGATGTAATAGGATCATGTGCATTAAAATACTATTGTAATTTTAATGTAACCCTTATCTCAACCACCAGTCATTGCAATGAAGGTCAGAAATGTCTGACATTGTCATCTGGAAGAAAAGTGAGTCAGGCAACAGATGCTGAGTGGGTGGATACAATGTAGATTTCTTTCAGAATACAACAATTCATCAGTGGGTGAGGAAGAGGGTTTTGCAGCTAGGCAGATCTGGGCCACATTTAGGGACTGGCAGGTAAGATACTGATACTATAAGTGTTGTTGTGTTTTGTGCCTCAACAAAATGATTAGGTCTGGCTTCAGATCCTTGTTTACATGTCAATTGTTGGGCCTTGTAAGTGATACACCTTTGCTGCTTGGAGATGGCAGACGCTGATCTGAAGCACCCCCAGTGTACAGAAACACCTCATTTCTCCCAAAGTCTGTTAATGGATTTTCAGAGATGGTGTTAAAGATATTTCAATGCCAGAACGATCATCCAGAGGTCTGCTATTACAAGTGAATTATGATCCATCTACTCAATTGCATTCAGCTTTGGATATAGCACACCAGTCAGCTAGTTGCTCACCGTACCACCATATATCGCTGCAAGTCAGTCTTCTTACATTTCTATCTGCAATCTCGTGCATTGACCTGTTGGATTCAGCTATCACATTGCTCGTTTTTGCATGTTACTCGGACAAGTTGAAGATGCAATTCCCTTTCATTCTTGCCAGCCTTGTAATGTGTCTCATCAGCTTTTCAATAAATATATCCACCACACCTGATGGTGTCAAGTACTTTGGGACTTTCTTCATTGTCATAGGAAGTTATGCTGCAGTTCCTGGCTTAGTTTCTTGGTCCATTGTTGTCACTCACATTACTACCAAGGCTAACATGTGGTAATAAAGGCTTGGGAACAATATTTCCGGTCAGTATAAGAGAGGTGTTGGCATGGCCCTCCAGATCGGCATCGGAAACTTCAGTGGTGCAATTTTATCTGTCATTTATTGGTCACAAGACTTATGTTATATCCTGTACCTCTGGATCCAGAATTCTGGAACCCCACCACTAAAGTCCGGTCCTCTGTCCTGTTATTTCGCCCGGCACTCTGCCTTCATCTCTGTACTCACCCCTATTTCCTTTTAGAATAGTTATTACTCCAGCTACCGGTTATATTCTTTCCGCTATGCTTACTGATCCATCTGTTCGTATTTCATTTCCAACCTCACTGCTTTGATCCATGTACACTTACTAATAGACTTTCCACATGCTTCGTACATAGCCCTTATTTTGCTGACTGAGTTACCTATATGATATCTACAGTATATAAGTTCCTGTAATACTCTGGAACTCCTTAGTTCGAATATTATCTTAGTTCTGCTCATTCCTGCATCTCTGGACTTGAGTCTCATCTCTTGTCTACCTCTGAGTCTTAGGGTTAAACCTTAGGACTAAATCTCCAGCTCTACCTTAGGGTAGTCTCACCTCTGTTCTGTTTCTACTCTGGACTTGTCTGCAGTAGCCTTACTCCATTCCCTCATAGTCTTCCGGAGTTCCGCCAAACTCCCCTGATGTCTGACCTCCAGACTTCCTGGACTTCCATCAGACTTCCCTTCTGCCCCCCGGAAATTAAGGGCACATACTCAAGTAAGGGGTGTAGTGCACGAGCTGAAGCCAAAGCCCTTTGAGTAACCTCCCCCTTGAGCATGACCTTAACAACTCACCTTGTTGTATTCTCGGGTGTAAGTGTCACTTCAACTTCATTGTCACTACTGACCCACTGTTTTGCAGACACAATGGAGCTCATGTTTGTCAGGATTGGATTCATCTTTTTACCAATTGTGGTTTTCCTTTACAAGAGGATCAATGCACAGTGTGACGCCACCGAGTGCATAGCAATGGAATGGGGAGAGAAAGTGCAGTATTCAGACGAGGAATTACAGGAGTTGGGAGACTGTGTACCTGACTTTAGATACACATTGAGACAGATTTGAGAATATCTTCACATGCACATTCACATACAGGTGCCTGACCAATCTGATCCTACAAAACCCTTCATGGAGTCAGGGATGAAGAACAAAAAAAAAATATTCTGTCTCTGAGGATGTGGACATGAAATAGTATCATTTTAAAAACTGGCTGATATACTCATGTAACCCTACAAACTGAAACAAGGCATTATCAAGTACATGAACACAATCTTCCACAGTGGGGACACTTTACTGTTGGGTGGTGGTCAGGATTGAAAAACTCCTCATGTGGCTCAGTTGGATCATCATTGTGTGAAATCAAATATTTCACAATAGTCATGTTGGTGAACTTGGCACTCCAGCCACCCCACTCACAAATTTGGTGTAGCAGCCAGTGGTGCTCAATATGGAGGTATTGACATCCACCTCAACGGAATGAATGAGTGCCATAGGATGATGGATCTACTCCAATATCCAGAAGGTTGTTATGGAATAGTTCTCAGAAGCGCTCAGATGTCTGAGAGATGAATTTAGATACAGGTTAGGTCATGTAGGTGAAAAAAGACTTACCATCGGTTGATTGGCTTCCACCACCCAATCACCAGATGCAATCTTGTGGAATAGGTAGCCTGTGGTAATTCCTAATGCATTGATCCAATCAGCAATGCCTCTCATGGGGCACAGGTGGGCTTCTGAAGCAGGCATGACATAGAGCCAGAAGGGTTTGATATCTCCAGCATGTATTAGTGTTGATTACATTCTGTGATGAGAAAACACTAACCTCCATTTTGGTGGGTTTTTCTGAATGGCAGTCAGTATCATGCCATTGGAAAACAGATGTAGGCCATGAGATTGAATTTTCAAGACTTCATCAGACCGCAACATACATAAGAAAGCAATAGCATAGGGAGCATACAGGAACCATCTCACACACCCTCCGGCCCATCATGCCAAGCCACTGGAATCAGCACCACTGAGTGGCTGTTGTCCTCCAGGCTGGTAGGCATGGATCTCCCAGAAAACTGGGAGATGATTGAAGTGGTATATTCTCTTCAGAATTAGCTGTCAGGAGTTACTAGACTCGAGTCTATAGTGTTGAATGTGGAAAGGGACTCACAGATGTGATTGCTCTAGTGCTGACTTCTACCTTGCCAGCCTGCACCTGTCAAGCAACACACATCACTACATATCAGATGTGTGACAATATCAACACACCTTCCAACACTTCAAACTACACATGAAGCCCGAGACTTCCATAGAAACTAATGGATTGCCCAACATCTGCCCTCTTTTGAGTTCAGATTTGTGCCATGCCAAATTTCCAAGGCATTGAAGTTGGCCAAACAAATATGTTGCAGCTGCCTGCATCTTCTGTGCATGACCATAAGAGCCCCATTCTTGGGTAGACAGTTTGGTTGTTCCATCAATATTAGCAGAATCACATCTGAGGTGAGGCCCAGGGCCTCTATGTGAGACACAGAAAGAAAGTTATTAAGTGGCAAATCTATGCATGCATCCATAATCCATGCTATAATTAAACATGGCACTTCTTTGTGAGGGCAGCAAGAAAATAGAGACTTGCCGTCCTGAAGAAACTTGTGTGCCCTAAGGAAAGAATTGCAGTGTGTAATCAGTCTGCAGCCCATTCTGCTGTCAGGAATGCAGAAAGGAACACAAACCAATCACTATGCTCACCAATTGTATTCAATTTCAGTGCTGTCAGATATCCCCTTGAAAACATGCTTCAGCATGTCTTGGAGCTGAGCAAGTTCACCAGTGATGCCAGTATTGCCTGTTAATGTCTCCTGCTCTGCAGCCATGTCATCTGTAATGTCATCCTGCTTGAAATCAGTCTGGGGTTTGCTGGCAAGGGCATTGCATAGCCCTGGAAATGCAGTGGCAAGATCAAGAGGCATTGAAGCTGGGGTGACATGCAAGTGCAAAAGGAGCTCTAGAATTATGTAGATTCTATCCCCTGTAAATGCCAAACCCTTGTAAATAATGCTGGTGCTCTGCTCTGGAAAGATTTCAACTTGTGTTCCATCTGGCCTGGATTTTGCTTTGAAGAAACACTGGTCTTGCTTGTATTAAAGGTGCTGTATTGCAACCCACGTTCTATTGGGAGTCTGGACTTCCATACAATGAACAAGTTAGTCTGAGAAAGCCTGTCATTATCACACTAGGCTTACTGTCGGTAATGGATGAGGTAATAGTCTTATTTGATTATTTTTGTTTTCGCAGTCCTTCTGAGGGAGGTGAGCGCCCAGGCCTTGAGCTCGCGGGTCTATTATTTGTGTTGCAGGGCAATCTCGATGGGTCCTCCAAGGAGGACTGTAAAAAGTTCCAACTGTAAAATCAAACATGACATGCATACTGTGAGCATCTACAGTGTCAATGAAGTTGACCCAATCATCGATAGTGCCCCAGTGAGGGTCTAGGATGGAGAAGTCGAGAGGAGAATAACCTGAAGGATGTGAGGGTTATTTGAGTGGAGGTGTAGAGAAAGAGACATAATGTCAGCTTGCCATATAATGTTCAAGAATATTGTACCAGAGAAATATATGCCCTTCATGCCCATGCCTTGGATGTAGTCCAACTTTGTGAGTAGACCTTTGAGATCTCCACTGAAGCGCAAGAATCATCTCTATTGCCCAAACACAATCCATTTGCATTCACCACAATGGCCTCTAAATGAGGGGAAATCACTGAAGTGGAGCATATGACATGGGCAGAACTGCTCTGGAGGCAAATATTACATATATTTTTGCAGGTAGAAGTAGGGTAACACCATACAAATAAGCTGCCTGGAGCAGAAAGACTTCTGAGGTAGAGGCCAGTGTGTATCTTGTTTGAATTGGATGCCATCTTCATCAATGATATATAGATGGGAGAGATTTTGTTTATTGAACCTGGCAATATCTAACCAGTAATGCTCTAAGGTTCTCAACTGAGGTGTATTGAACCTTTTGAGGTTCCAAGGGGACTGCCACATGTCATATATGTTGGGACACATAACAGCCAGCATTTCCCAATGGTCACACACAGAAAGGAGAATCATGACTAGTTCACTATCTGCACGTGAGTAAGCCGGCATTGGTTTGGGTCTGCAGATGCTGAAGGGTGAGAGGCTAACTGTCAGAGATTTGGAAGCCATAGAAGCACCAAGCCTCAGTGGCCTGAACCTCATTGAAGAAATGTTTGACAAGGTTTTCATTCACAATACCTATCTGATGCAGGAAAGAAGGCAAGGACATGTGAGATGAAATGATGCTCACCATCATTAAGATGGTTGGTCCAGCATGGTGTGTCCTGCATGGCATCGGTAAACCATCAGTGTTCTGAGAAGTGCTATGACAGGTGACGCTCGAGCCATCAACCTACTTGAAAGAGAAATACGCACTTTATGTGATATACCAGAGACAAATCCACCACAACAAAAACAACACACCAGAAGATTTCAAGGGTTTTCTGGTAAAAAGCCCTTTGATAGTACGTCTCTAGGCAGTCAATTCCTGGTCAGCATTGACACATTAGACAGATGTGTCCTCATGAGATCCTAGATTACTTATCAGTAAACATAACTAAGTCAGACTAACATACTCCTGATATTAATAATCTGACATATTTCTGTATGATCCTTGCTGTTAAAAGACTCAATATATGTACTAGAAAGTAGATACAAGCAGTTTGTATAGTTTATGCAAGAGTAATATAATGAAAAACCTCAAAAATGCGAAAATATGCAGTGGCATAGGTAAAAGGAGATATTTCATTGTAGAGAGGGATCCTGATGCTATTCTGATGTAGCTATATAACTAGAATACTCTTAATATCAATAGGAACAAGTAACCTACCATCCTGGAGGGCTGGAGCTGCAGGAAAAAAATTCCCAGGGTATGAACCACCAGGAGAGGGTGTTATGACTAGCGTTCACCGAATGGTAAAGACTAACACACAACCACTAGGACTTGGTCAAGAGGGATGATAATGAACAAGATAGAATTGAGCATGAACGTCTAGGTCTACCACCAGTGTGGAAACGAAGAGGTTAAGTCTAAGGAGTACTTACTGCTAACTAGCCTACTTTTATACATAACATTGAAGAGGAGATATCTGAGTATGAACGAAATCAGCCAATGAGAAAAGAGTCATATGATACTGTGGATGACTGATCATGATGTCGTGATATATAAGCAATGAGTAAGACGGTGACTAAACAGAAACCCAAGATCCAACCAGTACTTCTTCTGAAAGCGAGATTGTTCTAGCCTGTGGAGTTGGGGAACCAATCGGAGAAACAACGGGTGATATGTGAAGAGATGAAGGTGTGACAGGAAGTGAAATCACGTGACCGGTTCGGTAACTGGAAGTAGCCGGAGGAAAGCTGAGGAACGAAAAATGATTTGTGTTTGGAATTCGTGACAGAGGGTAAGCATGTAGCACCACAGCAACTGATCCTGTTAACCTAGGCTCCTTATATGTTGTGTATCTAAAAAGTAAGGGAGAAGGGAGGGGGAGGGGGGGAATGTGGGAGGATTTGGACATTTTCACATAGCACACATGGCATCAGCAGCATCAGTTATTTTGGTTACAGACCTTTTAGGAATTTTCGCATGCTTTTCATTTTCGGAGTTCCATTTCCCTATGAGTTTCGAAACCCTTGCAATCTAAGCACCTCTTTCCCCCCACCATCTGTTTCCTCACATACTATTGTTGAAATTGTTGAAATATCCTCTCCCCAGTGATTATTTGTAAATTTGTAGTGAAATTCCCCTCCTGGGGTAAGCTTTACTTATTTAAATATACATAATAATAATAATAATGACTTGAAAAGTCAAAAAAATATAGTGATTTTCGCTTTTCTGCTGTTTTGGACCTCATTCTGGACCGTTTGGACTGCATTTGGACCTCCCTTGGACCCCTGGACCCTCCTGGACCCTTTTGGAGAGCAGGTTCATGTGGTGTGTTTGTTGTTTGTTTCTGTGCCTGAATCCCACAGAGAACTGGGGAAATTGGGTATACAAGACGAACATGCAAGGAGTCTTGCAGGCGTCTTTTGCAGTTGTCAAAGACTGTCCCGTGACATCTCCATGTTAAGTCCCACCTCCCTGGCTGCCTGTTTTTACAGGTGTTTGCCAGTTGCTATCAGCTTTTGCTAGGACCTCTGATAGCACTACAGTGCAGAGATTTGGCTGGCAGGACACTTTTTTGCATTGAGTCTGACTGCTGGGTGTTCTATCTGGCAGTTGCTCACAGTTGCCTTCCTATCCCCTGGGATAATATCTTGGACAGCATTTTCATTGTCTTCAGCACTGTCATACATTGATTTCCACCCTCCTCCTGCCCCTGCCCCTGCCCCTGCCCCTGCCCCTGCCCCTGCTCCTGCTCCTGTCTATCCTGCTGCTCAAATGCCAATATATGGTGCTGTATATTGTGAGGGTGCAGCTCGCCCTCAAAACATGCAGAATGCCCATCCCATTCCTCATGAGCCTGGTGTTCAGGGAGCATAAGTTGACCATAACTTCAATCTCATGGAAAATTTCAATTGTCTTCATGAGGATCGTCGAAGGCAAAGACATAACAGATGGGGTCATGCTCCCAATCCACCACCTCCTGATCTGCCTCCTGCTCCATTTAATCCTCCTAATCCTCCTCAACCTCCTGCTCCTCAACCTAAACCTGAACCTGAACCTGATTATGCTCGATTTAACATTCAGTTTCATCACCATTTGCAAAACTTGCAAAATCAGGTTGAAGACATGGAAGATCCACATCTTTGCCAACTTAGGGAGGAAATGATGGAGCAACAAGCACAGGAGGCTTACCAGTGGCAACAGCTTTAGCAGCAGTTGCAGGATTGTCAGGCTCAAGAGATGCATAGGCAAGCACAAATTTTGCAAGCCCAACAATAAGCTCTCTTGCATGCACAGGAAGAGGAAGCACATTGTCATGAGATAGCTCAGCAGGAGCAGGAGTATCATCTTCAAGCAGAGCAACACAGGCTTGCGCATGAGGCACACATGGAGGATGCTTGGCAGGACTATCATAATCCAGGATCACAGGAGCAGCATGACCAGTATGTGGAGAGAAGGAGAGCTCAGGAATGTGAACATCCTCAGCAGGATAATCCAGAGGATCAGCAAAATGCTGATCAACCACCACCACTACCACAAAAAATTCCTATTCCTGTTCAACAACCACCTCAGAATGCTCCTGTTCCTCCTGGAGGTCGTCCATATACAGAGCCTGTCAATTGTCACACTGTTGGTCCTCTCACTGTAGAGTGTCCCAACTGTCATGCCTGCCACTTTGCCTCTGCACGAGCTCCAAAATTTGGCATGTGTTGCTTGCAGGGCCAAGTTGATCTTCCACCTCTCCTACCATGGCCTCCTGAGCTCCAGTAGTTGTATCAACAGCATGCATTTGTCACCAACATTCATCAGTACAACAGTACTGTGGCATTTACCTCTGTTGGTGTTAAAGTCGATGACCTTGCTCTTTGAGGCTCTGGCCCAAGCTCCTTTCGCATCCATGGATCTCTCCATCACCTCATGGGAAGTCTTATGCCTGGAGAATATCATCAGCCTGCCTATGCTCAGCTTTATGTCTTTGATTCAGAGCATGCCACTGATGTTCG